ACAAATTAATTTTGAGGTAGACTAGTAGAGAAATGGAATACTGTACTGTACAGTATGTTATTTCTGTCCTAACACCAGTTCCATGAACTACAAGTACAATACAATAAAAAAAAAAAAAGATCTCATGAAGATTAAGAACCCCCACTTGCTTTTCCCCTGATGATTAAGCCCCCTAACACTTAATGGGGAGAGTTAGGTTAGGTTAGCATAAGGATGTTTAATCATCAACTTCATATAGTCACTACCTACCATAAGTTAAAATCCCATGGGTGACTTACTTTACCTTAACCCTTAGAGGGTAGTGTTGCACTTAGGTATTTTATTCATGTTAATGCCAGACGATGTTAATCACTCTTACAACTTGATATATTTTTTCAAATTTTCGTTTAATATTGTACCTACAATTTTGCCAATTAACTTCATACATGATAACAAGGAAATGTATACATTATGTTCATCCATTTAGAAAAATACATCTTCTGCTGCGAGTCTGCCAAAACGGGGATAAACAAGCAGACCTTCTCTTTACACCAAAATGTTTGGCAAATTGTAATGGGTTGCGTTTTTCTCTCGGAGAAGCCATCTCGGCCTCCCTCTGTCGTTGATTCAATGGAGCTCTATCATCAGATAACAGTTTTTCAGTCAAATAGAAGAAACTAACCTTAATGACAGATTTTTAAAGTGAGGTCAGTCACTCACATAATGATACCGATTCTTACACTTGCTGAATTCCCCATATAATATATCATGCAAGTATGTATAGATAATATCTTCTTTTACCCAATCCCAGACAAAGCAGCAAATAATACAAAATGTTATTAATCTTGACACATTAAAATAATAACTGCCCTTTATACACGCACATACATTCTTTTGACGTACAATACAATTATTACAGGTATTACATGAATCCCAACTGTAATATACATTAATATTTTGTGACTGGCGGACAGCAGCGTGTAGGAAGGCTGACCTGTACTCTTCAGTTTTTCTAAAATACCATTACGCTGTGAAAGAAATCATATTTGGCTTTAATATCACACAGGTAATTGCAATAACTCTAGTATGGTGAAATTATACACTAATGGACTTACTTGTTCAGGTAGGAGAGTATGTAGTAGTGAACACCGCTTTTCCCATTTGACGGATTATCATGAAACTTGATGTGAGAAATGCCGATAAAATGTCATATAATTATTAGTTTATCAGTTAGAACCTATGTTTAATACATTGCTTCTACATAATCCACTCAAGCTTTCACATTAGCCACAAAATCAATCACTTGTCTCAGAACACAACCTTCTCTGTTGACATTGTGCAGAAACTAAGGTGACGCGCAGCTCAACGCGCACCCCAACACGGCCTAGTCCACTCCACCTGTTTCTTTATAATACTCAGAGGAATTTATCAAAACGAATGGCTGCTGAATGTAAAATGTTATTTCATATTCTTCATATAATTTAGAAGCATATTAAGATTAGCCTCAACTTATTTCAGCTGAAGATTGACCACCCTGATGCTAAACTAACCACCCAGGTAGCATTAAGGTGTTTAAATCGCCAGGTGCAATGAGGTGGAGGCTGATCTTCATGTGATCCTCATTCTAACTTAATATCATGTAATACAATGATCAATATTGAGGACGAACTCCGTAACAAATGATTTTATTTCTATATATTTTTAATTGAAATATCTATTAATTATGCTAAATTTACTCCTACCTCTACATGTGATTTAATAATTTAAAAGTTATTTTGAAGGAAAGAAAACATGACTTTTTAATTTTTACTTCTATCCTCTTCACCACTGATCGACTCGTCAGCCGCTTGGACGATCGGTCACGTCTCTGTTACGCACTGTTGGCAAGAACTGGGCATGCACCGGCTCCTGAATGTACCTAAACCTGCTCCAGTGTTGGTCAAGTCTGGTCTTGAAAGAGCTTTCACTTGGTGCCGTCACAACACTTTCTGGCAGATTGTTCCAAGACTTCACAATTCTCACTCCGAAATAGTTTGCCCTCACATTTTTCTGGACTTGCGGCTTCTTCAATCTTGAGCTGTGACCCCTTGAGGGGCGAGCGTCCGCCAGCTCCAAGTAAGGACACTCGATTGAGTAATGCCCCTTGAGATGTTTATACACCTCAGTTTGGTTTCCCCTTGCCCGTCTGTAGTATAAGCTAGGCAAGTTCAGGCGCTCCAATCTCTCAGGGTAGTTGAGGTGCCGAAGCGCAGACACCAGTTTGGTGGCCTTCCTTTGAACATTGTCAACCACCTGACGGTCCCTAGTATTGTATATAACTCGGGGACCAGACAGGGGTGACTACTCCAGATCGGGAAGCACTTCACTCTTGAAGATCGTTACGAGGGACGAAACCACTGAGTACCATTATACCTTATTCTATAATTATAAGTACAAATATCTGATTTATAAGATAAATAGGACAGAAAACATTAAAAAGAGATTAGCAAAGACATAAAAAAAGAAAGATGTGTCTATAAAAAAGGCTATAAATAAGATTAAGTTAAAATCAATGACAGCAAAAACCTCTCAAAGTCTGAAGTCACAAGATAGTCATCCTTTTCTAACAGAATTCTTCAACTTCGACCTGTAGATATTCGCCATGGGCGGTTGCTTGTGTCAGTTATTGTTCTCGGTGGAAGATGCGGGAGGGTGGGGGAGTAGGCAGAAGCTTAATGAATAACAAATAAACAATGGCTAATAAAATAAAGCAAACTCGAATTTCTATATATTTTTATTTTTGTGATGTCTAAATTGTTCATCACAAACCCCATTCGTTTTTCTTATTCGTAAGCTATCTTATAATCGTACAATTATATTATTTCCATGAAGGGTTGCCGGTCTATGCCCCTGTATCTGGCACTCTGACGCACACACTCACACTGTCCTTGAGGTTGGCATTTAGAGAAGGCTTCGCTCTACAGGCTTTTTTGTTGAGAAAACCCTGGTCTTTTGGTTAAGTTATTTTAATAAATCTGCTCTACAGGCTAATTTGTTGAGCAAAACCTTGGTCAAGGGGATAATTTGCAGAGAAAACCTGTTGTTGGGGTCAATTTGTGCAAGAATTGATGCAATCATTGCACAGGTTAATTCTATATTATAAAACCCTCATCATAATGAAAATAAAGACATCAGTAAACACTGTATGGTAAGAAAAATTACAAAACAAAATATAAATACTGACCTAAAATATAAATACCGTACTTAAGAATGCTATGGATAACTTCCTAAACGTTCCTAAGAATATATGAATACAAGAAACATTGGTTGTAGTTGCACTTGAAAATAAATATGATTGATGAAATGAGATAAAATACTTTAAACTTACAGTAGAGAATTAGTATAGGCCTATAGGGCCATTGCCTCTCACCATCGCAGCCCCACTAAACGGGCTTTTTTTCAGTTACCTACTCTCCTAATACTGAAATTAACCAAACAATCTCTATTATATAAAGAAAATAAGTTAAAGTGCATCATTGTAGATTTAAACTTGTAAGAAGTACCGTCAGTTGGTTGAAAATGTTCAAAGGAGGGCCACCAAACTGGTGCCTGCACTTCGGCACCTCAACTACCCTGAGAGATTGGAGCGCCTGAACTTGCCTAGCTTATACTACAGACGGGCAAGGGGGGACCTAGTTGAGGTGTATAAGCATCTCACGGGGCACTACTCAGTTGAGTGTCCTTACTTGGAGCTGGCGGACGCTCGCCCCACAAGGGGTCACAGCTCAAGATTGAAGAAGCCGCAAGTCCAGAAAACCGTGAGGGCAAACTTTTTTGGAGTGAGGGTTGTAAACTCTTGGAACAGTCAACCAGAGAGTGTTGTGACGGCACCGAGTGTGAGCTCTTTCAAGACAAGACTTGACCAACACTGGAGCGGGTTCAGGTACATTCAGGAGGCGGTGCATGCCCAGTATTTGCCAACAGTGCGTGACAGAGACGTGACCGATCGCCCGGGCGGCTAGCGAGCCGATCAGTGGCGAAGAGGATAAACGTTTATTAAGAATAATCATATGGTGGACGCATTGATGGTTATGAGTGAAGTTAGGACTGTTTTGGTTGTTCATAACACACGGTAAAAAAAAAGGCATGGCTATTTTGTATATGGGTAAGGTTTTAATAATGTCAATTCTTCATCCGGTAGGGAGCAGTAATCGACCAGAATGTTGATTATAATAAACGAAGACTACAGTTCTTTTCGTACGGATTCTTTTAATGTGAATATGTGGGATATAATTTGTGGTTCTGGAAACAGTTATATTTGTCTAAAAGACTCCGTGACTCTAATTCCTGAAAAGATATACCGCAAATCGAGAACCTTCCAGAACATCTTGAATCAGTCATCATCAGTAACAGTTTACGAAGCTGTGTTCTTCGCCATGATAATGTTGCAGAATACAAGTAATTTAATGAGCCGAACCGTAGAGGCGATGGAATGTTTATTTTGGCTTAAGATATACTAGTAATTTATTCGTAATTAAAAACTTAAGGGGTGATAATATATGTCCTACAGTTATGGAATTAAAACTGCAGATTAAATAAAACATTGTAGTGTTCCCTCTTTCCATAAGGTCCCAATCAACCCGGTATATAAAATATAACATACGTGCCTAAAAGAGAGCTCAGGTTCTCAACTGGCTCAGCCATGTTAATATTGTTATTATTATCCACTCTGTATCTGTGTTTTTCTGGCTAAATAAACTGTTTCAATTCAATTCAACTTAATTTCCATGTAATGCTGGCATTTATTGATAATATTTACCAGGTGCAAGATGGCCAGTGTTAAAAGTATATCATATGTACGGTCACTAAGCCATCATTAATTTTCTTTAAGTAGAAGCCTCAAAATGAACATAATGTGGACTTAAACTATAAGACTAGTGTCATTTACTTTAAGATAAGGTTGGTTGGTCCAAACAAATGATTTCATAGTTGTGTTCGCGGTACTTTCTAACATTCGTTATTGTGCTGGTCATCCATATGGGAGAGTGGGAACTGCAGTAAACGGACCATAAGCGACCATCTTGTGCTGAAGGGCTGCTGTCTCTCAGTTCAGTCAAAGTTTATAACACAACAAACCCAGCACAATGAGTGGCGACAAGGAGTTAGAGGCCATCCGCAATAAAAGGATGCAAGAGCTGCAGAGTATGCAGGTAAGAAGCTGGAGGGTTGAGGCCAGGTGGACGTAACTTGGGATTAGTCACCGTCCAGTCCTCGGCTGCACCAGGACAACTCGGCCCACACATTTTTGTTTGATTATTTTGTGGCAATCAACCACTGTTTATAATGAGAGTACTGTTTTTCTATGTTAATCATTGCTTTAAGAGGACCAGGATAAGAGTTTTTAGCCTAGTATTTAGTCCATGAAAAAAAAAGAATTTTTGGTCATTAGGTCAAGGTTGAGAATACTTTAGTATACTGTTACATCACTACAAAAAGCTCTTACCGCTGTATTTGGTAGATTTTCTTGGTAAATAATTACTAAATGTTTCTACTTGCAGAAATAGGGATAAAACAAAATAGTTCTGTTAGGTTAGAGGTCATGTTCTATGCATTGTCATTCCCATTTTTTATGGTAAAATTATCGTTTCGGTCATGCACCTATTTTCCAAAGGTCAGAATAGTTCAAAACACATAAAAAACCATCGAAAAAACAAAGTGTCAATCTAACCTAAATTCGCTGCTTGACCGAAACGAAAATAATACCTTTCTTATTTAGTACAGTATCGTGTAAATAACTCCGAAAATTTTGGTCATATTCTGCACGTTCCTTCTTGTGATAACCGTTTCCTTCACCTTTCCCAAATGACAGACAACCACGTGAGCTAGTTTAGTTTATCTGTGATGGAAGGCATTATGATAGCTGTCTAGTTCTGATTTGGGCCATAAAATGGGATATCAGGTTCAACTCTTAATTTTTGGTAATATAGCAAGTCCTTGCACATTGTAGGGGCAGCACCAGCAGCAGGAGGAGATGCAGCAGCAACAGCAGCAGGCAATCAATGGTCTTCTCAATCAGGTCCTTGACCAACAAGCCAGAGCAAGATGTAAGTAAATTTCAGTGATCGATTAGGTAAAACTACAACAATAACACCTCTAACTAATAGTTTTAAGGATTACGTGCAAAAAACACCTGTTACTGGAACTGATCACAGTTATGGAAATTTTTTTTTGTAATATCTTCTTTACCGGTGGTTTTCAAAACTTTTTTCGAGTGCGACCTAATTTTGAATATCCTGGAAACTTTGCAACCCATTGATTCAAATACTGTACAAAAAATTATCAAATCAAATTTATTGCCATATCAACTATCAATAAATAGAGTGGTTGAAGGCTCCTATTGTGTACTGCACTGGTGACAAATATATCCTGAGTAGGTAAAGAACAGAACCTAAATATTATTGGGACCAGTAGTAAGTTTATCCACTTGAACACGTTAACCCAATTTGTTGTGACTGACTGGCAACTGAAATCATTCTGAAGATGGTCTGTTGTGTGTAATTTTTTAAACCCCTGTAATCCAGTATTTCTCATAAAATATTCCTGGGAAATTGCAACCTATTAGTATTTATTTCTTGTATGCTGTAATCTTGCTTTTTTTTCACTCAGATTGTTAATTTCACCATGAATGACTTGTGACTAAAGAAAGGAATTTTATGCTCAGTACTGATTGTTCATACATGTATGCAAGTGTATCAGTGCCCAAATGTTGTACCCCATCTCTCCTTTTACTGCAAACATTATTATCAACTTATATCATCATCTAATTGTGGTGCAATATCTGCTTCTGTCACAATTTCAGTAGCAATGCAACATACCTGGGCTGACTGCTGAATGAAGTCCTGCAATGGGATTAAAAGACAGTAGCGGCAGTAACAGAGAAACTTGTTCACAACACAACTTACTGGGCTGTAATTTAAATAAAACCTCCTTTGAAATTCTTCACTGATGAGATGTATTGATATACAGGTGTGATCAGATTATATCTTAATAGTCAGTGCAGCACGTCTCCATGTTTCTAAGCATAAATTATCACCAAAAGAGTGATAACTGAACTTTCTTCAGTTTTATTCAATAAAGTTATCATACAAGTTTACAATTGGTTCTGCATGTATATAGACAATGCAGGTATACAGTGTACATACCCTGTGCAGGCTTACAATTAGTAGAATCACTAAAGTGGCAGTAGTGTTTTCCACCTCGATGGATTTTTTATTTTTATTTTTTTATTTATTTTTGCTGTGGTTAGAGGATCTTAAAGGATTTTACAGGATGAATACCAACAAATAGCTGCACAAAATATTTGCATTAGTACTACCTAATCATTCAAGAATTTATTACTCCCTTGTTATTTATTATGTGGATTCTTTTTGATAATACTTGATAAGAGTGGTTTGGCCTTAACAAACTGATGAAATTTCTCCATAGAAGATAAAAGGTTTCTTATTTTGAGAACATAAAAAAAAAATATGCAGGAGGAATCGGTTTTGTAAGATACAGGTACCAGTTTTGATGTACGAAATGGGTAGAGGAAGACAGCCAAACACAGCTTGGCCACCAAGGCCATGTTTAGACTATAAGTTTTTTCACAGGATTTTTTTTTTCCATTTTAGAAGAATAAAATAGGAAGTAACTAGTACAGTAGAAAGAATCCCGGTTATTAGGAGTCCAGGGAACCTGCACAAAAATGAAATAATAAAAATTCCTCCCAAATCAGCCATATTTATTACTATGATAAACAATAAACCTAATACATAGCATATCATAAAATACAATAGCACATATTTCATGTACAAAAAATAGCTCCTACACTTAAACCATCCTCTGGGTGACACGACCCACTTCAGCCAAGCAGTCAACCAGCTGACTCACAAACGTGTGGCTGCCACTCTGCGCTGAGTGTATGACATGACGTCACATCAGGAGGGAGTGCAGCCACACAGTTATAGTTCACCGCCTCCACACTCGTTCACTTCCCACCCATGTACAGTATTTTATAGTTTTTTATTGCATTTTATTTATTTCTAAGCCATATTAGAGTACAGTTTCTCCTCGACTTACGACGGGGTTCCGTTCTGACGACCAGGTCATAAGTCGAAAAGGCGAAAATAATACATAGAAATTCTAGAATGGGTGTCTCTTTTTCTTCTCAGCACCACAAGAACTCTCACTTTTACACTTGCCAGCCATTTTAAAGGGAATTACAAAAGAAAATTTTGTCGATACACAGAGCGATCACTAACGTCGGAACTCGAAAATATGTAATGTGTAAAATATTTTATACTACCATGGCCGTCGTAAGTCGAGGAGAGACTGTATTGTAATGATTTTATCATAAGTTTTATAGTTTCTTTACTTCATTACATGTAACGATATACGAGGTGGCTGGGCTGGCGAGTTGGCCATGCAGTTATAGCCCACCACCTCCACACACGTTCAGTTTCCACACACCCATGCTCTTCATTTTTCTTATATTTACAGTAGTTTTAACTTTTTTAAATTTATAGCCCACATTGTTTATATAGAGTGGAATGAGTGTTAAAGAAGTTAGTTTTTCAGTTAATTCTCAAATGAGCATATACTGTATAAGTACAGTAATTTGGAAACTCGTGAAAATTAACGAATTTGTGGAAAAACGGACTTCTGAGACACGAATTTGCAAGGCCAGCCTGTAGCACTGCACTGTAGGATTATTTGAGGGATCCTAAGAGTGAGGTTCAATTTAACGAAAAACTATATCTGGCACTTCTCAATTCTCATTGGTGCCGGATAACTGGGATATTACTGTACAGTAATCCCGTGTTTTTCGCGGGTACAGTGATCCCTCGGTTAACGAACGCCTCGGTTATCGAAATTTCGGTTAACGAATCATCTTCCATAAGAATCTTCAATTCGGTTAACAAACAAAAATTTGGTTCACGAAATTCTTACCAAATCATGCCAACATGTTTTCGCTTGCTCACCAGCTGGAATATTAGTCCGCCAATACAGTCATCGGTTCTAGGGCTTAAATTCATTCCCATTCGAATAAATATCAAGAAGGTTGTACTATTCAATAATTTTCCAAGTTTTATATTAAATATTTTAGAAATTTTAACACTTATTTAACATAATTGGAGTACAGGAATCTAGTTTTTGGTGCGCCAATCAGCCACTTGACTCACCCACCAAGGCGGTAGTTTGTATCTCTGGTAGTGGAGGTAACATCTTGCTTGTGGCTCTCTTGAACATAAACTATTTTTACGTTTTTACAGTACAAATATTGGTCATTCTGAAATTTATTTAACATATTGACAATACTGTATATAGTGTAGTGCAGTGTTGATTTAAAGAAAATAATCTTGAATTACACCTATTGAACTTAAAATTTTGTGGGTGAAATGATGGCATGAAGCATTGGGTGATTTCCACCCCCACTTCCTTCTCTTCTCCCTTCTCCTCCACCCCCACTTCTAATTTCCATCGTCATCAACCAGGACCCTTCTACATACACACCTCAAAGTAAGTGTACTTTACTGCATTTATTTTTACTTTGTATGTAATTTTCGGTGAGCTGGAACCAATTACCCCAAATCCCATTGAAACAATGGTTTTGGTTAACGAACGACCTTCTGGAATGAATTGTGTTCGTTAACCAAGGGACCACTGTATTACTTTCCTGAAACCCCCGCGAAAAGCCAAAACCACAAATACTCTTTTAGGAATCACTGTACCTGTGGCCACCAAACAGCTCAGGTAGGTCATGCACTTAACCACGCCATGCTCTCCACTCACGGCCCAGTGGTCACACTGATCACTGATGCATTGTACCGGCATTTACTAATATCATTATTTGAAACTAATCATATTGTAGTACAGTATAATACTGGAAAAAAACATAAACACAGTTATATACAAAAAATGTTTATTTACAAGTAAATAAAAATTATATTTCGCTGAGGTCAGCAACACCCGCATTGCCAGCCTCTCCCTGCTGTCCCGTCATCTGCCTGCCCTCACGCCAGCCAGCCAGTCCTCTTCCACCCACATTCCTCCACTTGAAGACTTGTATTCTGACAAATGAATTATCAGTCTTCACCACATCTCGAGCTATAGCTCATACCACCTCTGAGCTTGTCCAATAAAACTGTTTTTTCCATTAAGGTCCTCACTATTCACTTTAGAGTCTCTGCTAGTAATATTTGCCTTTGATGAGGCTGGCTTACATCCCGGAGCCACGTGGAATGCACGTGGGAGTAGAAACAGAAGAGGTAATCACAGTAGCGTTCACAGTACAGTAGGCATGTGTGGACTGAGGCTTCTCGGAGCAGTGGGTGTCTGAGGTGGGAAAGGGTGGCGTCTGTTTGCTGCACCGCACAAGGGAATATCGAAAATGGCGCAAAATTAAAATTTTTGTTTTAAAAAGCTATTTTATATACAGTCTCTCCTCGTCTTACGACAACCCGGACATACAATCGCCATGATCGTATAAAATATTTTTCACATTACCATACATATTTTCGAGTCGCGAAACGTTTGGTCGTAATGTGACCCCATATGACCGTGGGCTGGGCCGCCTCGTGGTGTACAGCATCCACGCCGTAGCCCACTAAGTTGTTGTTTGGCCGCCGTTGTTGCTGTTAGTGATTGCGCTGTGTACCAACAAAATTTTCGTTTGTAATTCCCTTTGAAATGGCTGGCAAGCGTAAAAGTGAGAGTTCTTGTGGTGCTGAGAAGAAAGAGACAGTTGATTACTTTTGAGATGAAAATTAAAATAATAATGCAATATGAAAATGGAAAAACGGTAGCAACCATTTCACGCGACCTTGGCTTCTCTCACTCGATGATATCAAAAATTTTGAAGGACAAGGAATGAATTCGTGAGGTGGTGAAAGCATCAGCATCTATAAAGGGAACAATAATAACGAAAAAAGGACAAGGTCCTCTTCATGAGATGGAGAAATTACTTGTGATGTGGATGGAAGATCAGCTGCAAAAGTGTGTACCCTTAAGCCTTCTAACTACACAGGCTTAGGCAAGAAACCTTTTCGAAAGCCTGAAAGAGCAGGCAGGAAATAAGTGCGACCAAAACTTCACAGCAAGTCATGGGTGGTTCCAAAGGTTTAAGAAACGTTACAATTTGCACAGTGTAAAGGTGAGTGGAGAGGCAGCAAGTGCTGATGTGGGTGCTGCTGAAGCTTTTAAGGGGGAGGAGGTAGATCGTGTCAGTGTGAAGGGAAATTATTTGCCTAATGTGGATAAAACTGGCTTATTCTGGAAGTGCATGCCAGAACAGACATACAGTACATCCACAAAGAGGCGAAAACCATGCCGGGATTCAAGGATCGAATCGCACTTCTGTTGAGGGGGAATGTAGCTGGTTTCAAGGTAAAACCCTTCATGATTATATCATTCAGAGAACCCAAGGGCTTTTAAAAATGTCAGCAAGCGCACACTGCCAGTGTTTTATCGCAGTAATAAGAAAGCATGGATGACCCTAGCATTTGAGGATTGGTTCCCAAGTTGTTTCATTCCATGAGCCAATTGTCTGCAACAAGGGATTGCATTCAAGATTTTATTAATTTTAGATAATGCTACGGGACACCCACCACACCTGGACGACCTGCACCTGATGTTAAGGTAGTCTACATTCCACCTAACACTACCTCTTATCATCAAACCCATGGATCAAGGTGCTATTGCTGCTTTTAAAGCATATTATTTACGTACGACCTTCTCTCACGCTATTGCTGCTACTGAAGGTGAGAAAACGCTCAGAGTTTTGGAAGGACTACAACATTTTGCAATGTACAAAGAACATAGCTGCTGTATGGGATGAGGTTACAGGTCAGTGCATGAATGGAATATGGAAAAAGGTCCTGAAAAGATATGTGAACAGTTTCAAAGGAAAGTGTAGCAGAAGAGCTAAGTAACGAGGATCTTATTGACTGGATGCACAGAAAATTGTAGAGGAAGAAGAGACAAAATGTAGAAGAAGAACCTGCATCCCCCAAAAAGTTTTAAGTGAAACAAATGGCAGAGGCATTTGCTACTATTAATAAGGGGATGCAAAAGTTGACACTGATCCAAGATGCACTTGCTTGCTACAACAGGAGATTTACAACGAAAAGAAAAGGGAAACTGTGCAGTCTAAATTGGAAATTTTTTATGAAGTCCTCCCACTGCTGTCTCCTCACGCCCCACCACTGTTGCCTCTTCACTCCCTAAAGATGATCCAATACCTTCAACAACCAAGTATGTTAGCCTGTGAAGAAAGCGAACTTGATGATCCACCCAGCCCTGTCTCCTCTGCGTCAATCAATTAATGTAGTCTCCACGCTTAATTAAAAAATTATTGAGGCCCTGTGTGCATTCAGCTGACTACATTAAAGGTAAGTGCACAGTAACACTAATAATTTTTCATTATTGATTACTTTTACTGTACTGTATTTCATTTTAGAATTTCTGTATTATTTTCGACTTATGACCAATTCGACCTACGACCTGGTCGTCGGGACGGAACCCTGTCGTAAGTCGAGGAGAGACTGTATATATAATTTTTGAGAGAGAGAAAAAAAAGAAAAGATAAAGAAACCTGCAAAAAACACGGGATTACTGTATCAGTATTTTAAATCGAGTCTGGTAGGTTAATTTTCTTAATTTATTAACAATAAATTTAGAAATTGTAGCAGTGGGAAAATAAACATGGTGGACTGAAGGTGGCTGCTCAGATGTTAAAACCTAAAAAAATCATAAAAGTGAAATGACAAAATGCATTCATCCAGCCATTTTTGTCTTGCAAGGTAAGAAGAGTTTTAGCTACGAAAGTAGAAATTTTGTTATGTTGTAGCTCATGTAGTACAGTATAAATAATTTTATCCGAAATTGTATAACCTGGAACATTTACTCAAAAGAAGTGGCTCGTGAAACCTTTCATCAAAGTTAAAACTGCCAAAAATCAGTTTTTAGGTTGCTCAATGGCAGTACCATCTCAGAATGTGAATTCTGGTCATCCATTGTATCGATTTTAAATCCCATCCATGTCTTAAAGGTGGTTCCATCCAATTATTATCCTGTAGCACAGTGACATAAAAACAAATTAATCCACTCTTTGTTTAACAGTAAACACAATCATGGTGGCAAAGCCAGAGAAAGGAAGACAGATGGAGTCCATTATTGTTCAGATGGCAACATCTGGGCAGATAGGTGGCAGGCTGTCAGAAAATGATCTCATTAGCCTGGTGGAAAGAGTTAATGCTCAAACTCAAAAAACTACTTCAGTTAAGGTTAGTTAAGACTTGTTGTGTCTGTAATATACAGTACTTTAATAATGTTTATTTGCCCCCTGCCTATATATTTCAACAGTGCATACTTTGACATTCTCCTTTGTATCTGATTGTCAGGCTGCTGTGAAATGGGTCATTTATCTCATATTCACCCAGCTCTGTAGTATAGTATGCTCCTTTCATAGAATGTGAAGGGCAATAATAAGGTTATTTCTCTGCTCAATAACCACAGCCTAAATATTTTTTTTAATTTGTATAATGTACTAAATTTCATTGCAGTCCATAATACATAGATCTTGCAGGGTTTTAGAATCTTCTTTTCAGCCTTGTTTGTGTATGATAATATTCATACAAGTTATTACTGTATATGTAGTGTCAGTAGCGGATCTAAACATCATATACTGTACAGTACTGTATATAAGTACAGTAGTATAGTAATCCATTCACTTTCTCAATTTTAAGTACCTGTACTCTAAGCAAACTATGGCAGTTCATATTTTCTAATTACAGTTAACCCTCACTTTACGCGGTTAATGTAACCCGGAGGGTACCGCGGAAAGCGAGAAACGCGTAAAGTGAATAACATAACATATGGGATTAATTGAAATGGAGTCCAGGCCGATCTCCAAACTCCACTTTTTGACGACACATAACTATGTTGTAGTAAAAATAACATCTTAATTTTATGATGGTACATGCACACAATTAATACTTAAGAAAATATACAGTCGCCAAGTTAATGTCCATTCAAATAATGGACAAGACTCCCTCCCCCTCTTCTCACACTACACTGCTGGCTCTTCCCTCTGAGAAATTTTGGGGGGAAAACCAGGTATAGTAATAAATAATACCTCAAACTAAAGTTAGGATAATATAATTGACATTGCTGGATTCCTTGTAAGACCAGGAATATTTTGAATATAAATGTCATATATTTTTCACAAAAGATAACATATTTACTCAGATTAAACATTACATCTAAAATTTGTATGTCTAATGCAAAATCTATGATGTTTATATTAAAAATGATCATCAAATTGTAAGAATTCCAGCAATGTAAATTATATTCTGGCCGGGTAATTTGTATGAATTTTATGAGCTAAAACAAATATCTTCTGTTAATAAAAAAAAAATATTCTTCACCACACTATCTGTCAATCAAAGTACCCCACCTGCCTTCCCCCCCTCTTCCAACCGCACGGTCAGTCCCAATTCTCCCTTCAAGAGAAAGAGTGGGCGAAAAAAATAAATTTTAACATTTTGTATTAAATAATACCTCAGATTAAAGTTAGGATAATATAATTGACATTGCTGGATTCCTTGTAAGACCAGGAATATTTTGAATATAAACGTCATATATTTTGCACAAAAGATAACATACTTACTCAGAGTGAACATTATATCTAAAAATTTTATGTCTAATGCAAAATATATGATGTTTATATTCAAAATGATCATCAAATTGTAAGAATTCCAGCAATGTAAATTATATTCTGGCCGGGTAATTTGTATGAATTTTATGAGCTAAAATAAAAATCTTCAGTTAATAAAAAAAAAAAATATTCTTCACACGGTAACAGATGGTCGGTCGCCGGTCCCTCCCTCCCTCCCCCCCACCCCCCACCAACGTCCCTACTAGATAAATGTGTGGGAATACCAGACTGTTTACCTTTTTAGTAATAAATAATAAATCAGACTAAAGTTAGGATAATATAATTGACATTGCTGGATTCCTTGTAAGACCAGGAATATTTTGAATATAAATATCATATATTTTGCACAAAAGATAACATATTTACTCAAGAGTAAACATTATATCTAAAATTTGTATGTCTAATGCAAAATCTATGATGTTTATATTCAAAATGATCATCAAATTGTAAGAATTCCAGCAATGTAAATTATATTCTGGCCGGATAATTTGTATGAATTTTATGAGCTAAATAAAAAAATTATACTTCACCCGTGTAAAGGGGTACACCCACCGCGGAATGTGAGCATCCTGGGTTCTGGCAGGGCACCGCGTAAACGTGGAATGTGGAACCGCGTAAAGTGAGGGTTGACTGTACAGTACTTGTACCCTTTGCTATACCAGGGAAGATAACAGGAGTTGTCGGCCAAAAACAAAAAAATACTGTATATGGGAAATTAAATTACCATTGAATAAATCTTTACTGTATATGATCCCTGTATCAGGGAAAAATTAAATATTAATTGGTCTTCATATCTCGCCTATAATTTAAGATACAGTACATATTTTTCTTCTTTGTAATCATGATTTTATGTTCTATAAATACACTGTAGTATTTGATATTCACTTAGCCAGCATTTTGGATCAAAAGTCACAGTTGTCATCCACAGAGATTTAAAGTTTCCTTTACCCGAAAAACAGAAAGGTTAACCCACTTGTATTTTTATAGGAATGTTAACTATAGAATTGATTTTTAAAGTCTGCTTTTGAAATTAAGTAAACTTAGGGTTGAAATTTTGCTGAGCTAATTGCCTTCATAACTTTTACAGTTTGACCGAAGGCGAGCTGCTCTTGATGACGATGGCGACTGGTAAAGAAGATAATTTCTGAACAATACGTTAATGGTTTTGTTATTATTGTGTGTAGTTTCAAGCAGCAGTTTTCTTGTGTTATTTTATTTGTCGTATGAAATTATGGTTTGTAATGTTTGTTGGTGCATAAACCTTAAACTTAAATCTTTACAAATATTAGGTATAAGTTAGCAGTTTTACACTGCATAATGTCAGACAGCTTAGGCAACTTACTATGTATGAGAATTAAGAACTTTGAAATTTATGGATGTAATTGTAAAACATTTCATCATCTAAATTTCTTGTTTGTCAGGAATGTTTGTTTATTTATCCAAATTGTTTGATTTAGGACTAAAATTTTTACAAATTTATTTGGAAATTTTTTTTGGGGTTAAAACCAATGACACTGATTGACGTCTACTTTAATATTTTTGTTAAAATGCTTTCAAATTGAATTTAACACTTCCAGAAAGATTGTACAATATACTGTAGTATATAGTGCCCCAGTAATTTCTGCAATGCAATATACTAACTGTCAATTTTATGAGTAAATCATACCACCAACATCTTTAATGACATAATTTTATTTTATAAATACAGTAAACCTTAATAATTTCAGATTTTTTTAGTGTATTTCCAAGACTTGTGACTATTGTACAACTATTAATGATTCGGGTAAAGTAAAAAAAATCTTGAATGTGTGTTATGAATTAAGATGATCCACACAGTGACCTCTCATATTAACTGCTTCTGTCAACTCACCATCCTTGTATTGTCTTTGCTCAGCCACATTAGGGTATATCCCTATAACTTTATTTGTGGTGACTTTCACCAAATGATTGTGTGGGATACTATACTGCACAAGCAAAATGCATCACAGCACCTCAGAACAGCTGATAATAATAAGCACAGCTAAGAGTGGAGTAAATGCAGAAGGGATTCAACAGGAATATGAACTGAAGCAGATCACTTATTGCAATATTATTAATCCTTTTACTCCAGGTTGCCACTTTTAATTTTTTGTTTGTCTGATGCCAGATGATTTTATCCAGCACAGAGACCCTCTTGTACCTGAGGGGTTAAGGATAAATGTGAAGTTGAAATTTGAAGAGATTTACTTTTTATAAAGCATGACTAGTTGGGGAAACTTGAGGATTTGAAGAGCACTTGTTGAAATAGCCAAGCAAAAGATGACTGAGGTGTTCCTGTGCATAATTTGAAACTTACAAGTGCTGCTGGAAACTTGGTACTGTACTGTATATTGAATTTCAATATACTGTGCAGTATTTCTAATTTGTATCATTACTGGGGTATCTGTAAGATATTGGCTGGTTACTTGTTCTTGGGGAGGGTGTACTAACATTGCTTAAATTCTCAATTATTAAATGTGTGTGTTTGGACTGGCTTTCCCCCAGTTTTTCTGGAATTGTGAGGGTTTACCAGTTAATGGCTTTGGACTTGTGAATTGTATCATGTGGATTATTGTGTCCATTTAACATGAAATAGCATTTATTTCTGTATGTCTTGCCGGTCTGTTCTACCTAATAAGTGGCAGCCACTTGTACATTCATTAGGAATTACAAGACTAGTGTCCATCCATGTCAAATTGAGGTTTTGTCCCAAAACCTCTCCATGTGTGGCCTTTAAAAAACCTTTGACTTTTTCAGTCTGCTCTGTGAGTAGCTTGTCTTGAAATGTCCATAATTCCTTTAACTGATTAGTGTTTTATATTGTAAAAAAATGGATAGATGTAAAAACACCCCTTATTTTTGTGTAATATATTTTTTTTTTTTTTTTACATGATAGTATTAAAAGCCTATGACCTGTAAAAGATAGTCAACCTGAAGATTCACAAGGTTAGCCAGTGTGTGCTATTGCTCACTTTATATTGTAAGTCTCTTGGTCGAGACAGCTTTGTTTATTAGTCAACCCTTTACAACAAATGTTTTTTTTTTTTTTCACTTAAGTTCCTGACACCTATATGTTTATATTAATATTATTTACAAAATCACTGTATGTGTGCATCTGCAATTAACTTATTTGCTTTATGAATTCACATTTATATATATTATACGGTCTTACTGAATTTGATATTTTGTCTAAGGACTATTATACTGTAACTAAAAGTTAAGAGTTAGTCATGAGATAATATATTATCAAATATAATATATTTTATCTTCACTCGGAAAAGTTCACAGTTATATCTTCAATAAACTGTTAGATAACATTTGTAAGTGCTCTTTGCCTCTCCAGGGTAAAATGCCCTACATGACAATAAGTCATGACAGGAAAGGGTGTACTATGTTCTCAGCTCTGGTTAAATACTTGGGAACTAGGTCTGCTGCTTCCACACCATATTGTAAAATTTTGACACAAACATTTTATCATTGCTATATTATAATATTTTGCTTCAAATGATATTAAGGAAAAAGAAGTGCCACTTACTTAAGAATAAAATTTTAATTTGCAGTGGTGTTTATGTTTTAATGGTCTTGCATAGTCCTTTTCTCATAGAAGTGTGGTGCAAGTTCAAGAAGCCACGCAGGATCTATCACTGTCAGATCGCGCATGAACATTTGTGACGTGTGCAGTACCTCCTGGAACAATACCCTGGAAGTACACACAATGATAATCAATAATTCAATGGTAAATTTGTCACTTCAGATATACCAAAACTTGCCATTTGGGATACAATTTCATGAATTGCAGGACACGGCTTTGAAATGTTGGGTAAAATACTAAAAAGTACACCAAACAAACCTTATTCATATTTTTGGCATCTTAGTTTGTGATGGTAGTGTTGTTTTCGGTGTTCAGATGAGGAGGGACCCATAAGCTTGAAAGCGATTCCTAACCTTTTTACAGGTTAGGTAAGATTTTCAAAGGTTAAGAATCGCTTTCAAGCTTATGGTTCCCTCCTCATCTGAACACCGAAAACAACACTAATACTGACACATTCCTTGATAAGAGAGACGAGTTTGAAACACTACTGAGGGTGCACCAACCCGATATAGTAGGAGTTGTAGAACTGTTGTACAAGAATAGGAGAATCGACCCAGAGGAATGTGAGTTCAGTATTGACGGATATGACTTATTTACGAACCTTTCTCAAATAACTTGCAAGAGGGGTGTGTTATCTATGCTAGGCAAGACCTTAGAGCAAGCCAGGTGAGGGTGCAGGGAGAGGATGTTTTTGAAGAATCCAAGTGGTGTAAAATTAAATTAAAGGGAGGAGACGTACTTATTATCGGGTGTATCTACAGATCCCCAAACTGCAGCTTACCAAACCAAAAGAACTTAAGAGCCTTATTAGACAATGCAGTGAGGCTCAATCCTAGCCACCTCCTTATCATGGGGGACTTTAACTATGGCGACAAATGAGTTCACGCCAAATGACGTAAATGACCCCACTACTCTTTTTGTAGAAATTCTGAGAGATAATCTTCTGTTCCAACATGTGAAAGACCCGCCGTATTACAGAGGGGAGCAAACACCCAAGCCACTTGACCTCATCATAACAAACGAGGAGGATATGGTGGCCAAACTGGAACATCTAGCCCCAGTTGGCACCAGCCACCATGTAATGCTGTCCTTCAGGTTTAACTGTTACTCAGTTCATGACAAAACCAGGTCAAGGTGGAAATATTGCAAGGGAAATTACGACTGGATGAGGGGTATCTACTGGCCTGACTCACTAAGGCATAAGAATGCAGACACTACGCTAAATTTCATAGCTAGAAAAGTGAACCATTTGATCGAGAAATACATACCCAAGACCAAACCCAGTGCCTCTAGGAATACAAGGAGATTGCTACACATGAACCATGTGACGGTCGACAAAGCTAAGAAGAAAACCCAGAAATTCAAGACGTGGGTCAGGTAAAACGATGAGCAGGACAAGAAGATGTATACAAGAGCCAGGAACCAAGCAAAGTCAGAGTGTAGAAGGGCCGAAAAGGAGTTCTAGAGGCTGGTTGCAAGCGAGGTCAAGTCTAACCCAAAGGCGTTTTACCGCTATGCAAAGTCGAAATTTAAAACGTGAGTAGGAATATCGGACCTGAGGCTTGAATATGGTAGTTACGCAGATTCTGACCAGGACAAAGCTGAGGCATTGAACAGCTTTTTTTTCCACGGTGTTCACGAGAGGATGCGAACAATCTTCCTGTGTTTGAGGACAGACAGTACGACACAGCACTGACCCACATTGTGTTCACAGAAGAGGTTATAAGATCAAAGCTAAAGGTTCATAAGAGTCCCGGACCTGACATGGTGCATCCCAGAGTGCTAAGGGAGTTGTGCAACGAGCTTGCTGAGCCCCTGAAGATCCTGTTCAGTAAATGCCTGTGATTGGAAAATGGCTTATGTTAGTCCTATCTTCAAGAAGGGAGAGCGTCACACCACGAACAACTATAGACCAGCATAATATGAAAGTACTTGAGAAATATACAAAACAACCCTGTAAATGGTTGCCAACACAGTTTTATGCCAGGGCGCTCCTGTTTAATAAAATTACTCCAGGTACTGGATATTTGGACCCAAATTCTGGAACAGGGTGGTAATATTGACAATATTTACCTAGAGTTTGCCAAGGCTTTCGACAATGTACCCCATGAAAGGCTGAAAATTAAACTGGAAGGGTATGGGATTCGGGGAAATGTCCTAGCGTGGATCAGAGACTTTCTCCATGACCGCAAGCAGTGTGTGGTAATTAATGGCACCAAATCATCATGCGTACCCGTCACTAGCAGGGTACCACAGGGCAGTGTATTGGGTCTGTTTTTGTTTTTTTTAAACAGGCATTATCCCACCTGGGCACAGGTCATGTTATGAACCACATCAAGGCCTGCTGGACAAAAATATAATAAAATAATAATAATAATAACATTAATAACACTTAATACAAATAATAATAATAATAACAACAATACTGTAATAATAATAGTAATAAAGAGCCATAAAAAAGAAAAAAAGGTCAATAGTGAGAAACAATATATGTATGTTGTGTTGTCAAAGTAAGAGAAACAATTGAGACCCTGCAATTGTGTGTAAATGAGGCAGAAAGTCAGATCAACAACCTGGGACTTGGTTAAAATTTTTGTGGTGCCATATGGCAGCAGGGTCTACCATTAGACAACACAGTATGCTTCCAATATCTTCCCAGGCGGTAGTACCTCCCTGTTTGATAGCTACCGACTACCTCACAAATAACCAGAAACAAATTTATTGAAAATGTGAGTCTACCCTCAAGTCCGTGCTTTATATTTTATTAATATAATCTTTTTCTTTATATTTTTAATATATTTCTTATTCCCCCCAGCCCTGTTGTGGGTCGATGACCTGTGCCCAGGTGGGCTATTCCCCGTAAAAAAATAAAAATATATAGTTGTATACAGTCTGCGCAGAAGGTTAGTTCGTCTGCTGAAAAAAAATGCATATTTACTGTTGTTATATAAATAAAGTCAAGTAACACTTACCACTTCAATTAATACTTTGTAATGTAATATACAGTCTCTCCTCGACTTACGACATATTCGACTTATGATAACCCGAACATACGACGGCCATGGTCATATAAAATATTTTTCAAATTACGTATTTTTGAGTCACAACGTTAGTGATCGCGCTGCGTACTGACAAAATTTTCGTTTGTAATTCCCTTTAAAATGGCTGGTAAGCGTAAAAGTGAGAGTTCTTGCGGTGCTGAAAAGAAAAAGAGACACCCATTTTAGAATTTCTTTGTATTATTTTTGCCTTTTCGAGTTACGACCAATTCTAGAGTATATGTACGTATATATAAATATATAGTGATTTAAGGGCGATATAGGGGAACTTTAGGAGTGTTTCTGACTTTATGCATTTTTTGGCTTTACTTTGTATGTACTTTTCTGTGAGCTGGAACCAATTACCCAATATCCCATTGAAATAATGGATTCGGTTAGCGAACCACTCTGTGGAATGAATTGTGTTCATTAACCGAGGGACCACTGTATACTGTATATATAATTTTTTTCTTCTCTTTTTTACTGGGAATAGCCCACCTGGCCACAGGTCATTGACCCACAGGGCCTAGGGGAGAAAACATAAGAGTAAAAAAGAACACAGTCGTGGCGTGACCACATAAGAGGACAGACGTGCCCATAGGTGCTCTTGACTTCCCGATCGTCTCACAAAGGGCCCCTCAGCCGGCAAGTTTTTGCCAGCATGGGGGGTCGACATAAACGTCACAGAAGAGGCCCTCTCATGAACGCAGACATCTCTGATATGGATGCCATTACCAACTCGCCTGGTCATACTGAATCCAACACCCTTCAAGAGTCAGACCCCAGTGATTATGACAGTAACGGTAATGTTTCTATGGGAAACACTAGCCGCAGTGGAAACACCAATGCCACAGACCCTATCACCCTGCCCTCTGCCAACCAGCCAAGTAAGCTGAATCTGCACTTCCCCAAGGATTCACTGAAAACCGTAGAAGAATGGTTTAATTAGATGATGAAGTACTGCAGACAACATGGTCTCAACATTCAATTCCGACAAGGTAAGAACCGGAACTTTATCAAGTGTCAGACTCCTGAAGTCTATGAAACACTTAGTACTGTTGGCTTTGACGGGGTTGTCCTGGTGCCCCCCCATTAGACGCTGATGAATGTTGCCACATCCTATACGCTGACATCGAAGATGCGCGTGACTTTAATTCTAGTATACTCAGTATACGTCGACAATACTTGGGGAACACCCCACAAGCTGCTGTCATTGTCAAGTGGAAGGGAAGGGAATGCCCAACCACTGTGGAGGCCCACCCAATCCTCCCTCCACTTTATGCAGAACCCTATCAACCCGGGCCTGCATATTTTTTTTTTTTTTTTTATGGGATAGCCCACCCGGGCACAGGTCACTGACCCACATCAGGGCCTGGGGAGCGAAAATATAATAATAATAATAATAATAATAATAATAATAATAATAATAATAATAATAATAATAATAATAATAATAATAATTCAGTTTAGTAAAATTTATAATAAAAAATAAAAAATAAAAAATAAAAATAATAAAATAATAATAATAATAACAACACTGCAATTATAATAATAATAATAATAAAGAACAATAAAGAAATACAAAAAATTAAAAAAAAAGATCAAGAGTGAGAAACAATATATGTATGTTGTGTTGTCAATGGTAAGAGAAACAATTGAAACCCTGCAATTGTGTGTAAACGAGGCAGAAAGTCAGATCAGCAACCTGGGACTTGGTCACAATTTTTTTGATGCCATATGGCTGCAGGGTCTACCATTAGACAACACATTATACTTCCAATATCTTCCCAGGCGGTAGTGCCTCCCTGTTTGGTAGCTGCCTACTACCTCATTGGGGTCACACCTTCACTGCCTGCTGCCGACGTGATGGTCCCAGATGTCGCTTCTGTTCACATAACCATAACTCCACCGCCTGTGCCCAGAAAATCAAAGACCACCTTAATAGGGGTGGTGTGAGCTATGTAGTTGATCTCAGGTGTTGTAACTGTGGCGGCCGGCACAATGCTGACTCATGGCAATGCTCCAATCGCCCGTCTGTCCCAGGGGAAAAGCCTCCCTGAAGGCCGTGTCTACTACAATGCCCTCCCCCCCAGTCTATCGGGCCGCCTCCCTCTGCCTCCAGCAATGCCTTCTTCAATAACACCTGCCCCTGCCTGGCCTCACCTGGCTGCAACACAGCAGTCCCGACCGTCTCCTAACTCAACTACTACTGGGCCTCCTCCCAGTCTCTACTCTGACACTGTCAGGCCTTGTGCTCCCACCGGTACCCCCCACAATCCCCCTCCAGTGACATGACACAGATCATATCCCTCTTCCAAGAATTTACCAACCATATTGAAAAACTCTTGGTTACACTCTGTACCACCATCTCCTACCTACTCTTGCCCTCTGTTGCCACCCAGTCACTCCTCTCTTCTGGTTTGACACAAGCTGGTAGTCCCCCTGTGAGCCCCCCCTGCTCACGGCCTACTCCACCGCCGGTGGCCTTCACTACTGGTGTAGCGCCTACCGGGCCTGCCCTGGTGTGTCCTGCTGCCCCCGAACGAAGTCTTGCCTCATCTTCACAACATGTGGTGCCTCAACCTGTCCTCCACCCACCGCAAGCCGTGCCCGCTCCTGTGTCTGTGCTGTCTCCACCAGGGCTACCGATTGGACCTGAGGACACCACCCCCGGCTACCAGTACCCCACTGGCATGTCGATGCACACGCCATCACAATCACACTAAAAGTTATGTCCCTCAATATTGTCAATGCCTATGTGCCTCCCTCCTCCCCTACTGTACCTGTCCCACCACACCATATCACCTCCACCCCCTCTGTACTTTGCCATGCCTAGTACATTGGCAACCCTGAGCCTGGTCCCACTGTTTGTAAACTTTGTGGTCAACCTGAATCTCACACCCTCTCTCACTACATGCTCACTTGCCCTATGACCTCCTCCTACAGGTCCCCAACCATTACCAACACCTCTTCCCTCCCAGACCAGATATCCCTCCTCCTAGTGACAGGCCTGGCACTTGACATTATTAGGGACCTGCCACACTTTGCCATAAACAGATAAATTGTACCGGGAATTTTCCCCCCACACAATCATCATTCTGTCACTTTATATAACTTGCTGACAAAACCCATGACCCATCAGGCTTTTAAGCCCTTAATGCATGACTCATAAAGGCAAGCATGAACTGCGCATGCTTCTCAGATGGGCGCTGTAAACGCTTCTGCACTTCACCTTGCACAGGATATAAGGGGGTGCCCAATAAACTAGCCCCCTGGGGGCAATCTAAAAAAAAATAACCTAAAAAAGAAATTAAAAATAGAAAAGAAGATTATATTAAACTACACCATGAAGAAGCCGGAAAACCATCTTTTTGAAGTGAGACAGATTGTATGAGTATGGAAACACAGAAGGAGGCAGAGCATTCCACAGTTTGGCTGTGTGAGGAAAGAAGGATGCACTATAACAGGTTATTCGGATTATTCGAGCGTGACCGACATCTACAGAGAAATGGTGGGCACCGTGGGTAAGACGCGTGTTACGAGCCCTTGGCTTTGCCAGCTGTACACCGAACATTGTCCGTTAAAGTATTGTACCTTTAAAAGAGAAAGAGTGAAGCAACATTGCGGCGAAGAGAAAGGGAAGAGAGATTATGAACTAAAGGAAGAGAGTTAATAAGACGAAATGCCTTTGAGTCCACCCTATCTAACAGTTGGACGGAAGAGCCACCCCAGATATGAGAGCAGTACTTCAAGTTAGGAAGAATGAATCCCTTATAAACTTGAAGCAACTGCTCAGGAGTGAAGTAGCTATGGCATCTGTACAACATTCCCAGCTTTCGGGAGGCAGCTTTAGCAATGTTGTGGATGTGTGGTTTCGATAACATATTAGGGGAAATTGTGAGGCCTAGCATATCTATTTTAGAATTTGGCAGAGTGATTGGTGGGAGATCATCTAATCTGGAAAGTGTAATTGATAAATACTGTGTTTTATTACTATTGAATTTAACCAAGTTTCTACCTCCTCATTTGTAGTATTTTCCCTCTACTTCAAAGCCCTGCCCACTCTGAACAATAAATGTTGTTGGTAATAGGGAAGGGGGGGGGGGTGTCATATCTCCATAGCAGGTCAGATTCACCTGAAACAACACAAAATACACCACGAAAACCTATTTTCTTAGTAGTTTCTGTGGGCGACAAAAAACAAATTTTTATCCAGGATTTTGCTGTATCATAATTATCACCACTCTTTTATAGCCTTTTCCATGCTTGCATGGATTAGCTGTAATGCCTAATAGCAGGGTGATTTTATTTTATTTTTTATTTTTTTACAGTGATTAGCCCACCCGAGCATAGGTCACTGACCCACATCAGGGCCTGGGGGGCGAAAATATTATAGTAGTAGTAGTCACCGTAACCTAGCTCTCGATGCTGCACATAGGAGGAACGAGAACGACAAGAGAAGGGCATATGGGGAGAGAATTCAAAACGTTGATCAAGGCAGCTTCACTCCTCTAGTGTTCACAACCTCTGGTGGGATGGGACCAAGTGCAAGATATTTCTACGCCAGACTCGCGGAGGTGATCTCCGAACAGAAGCAGCAGCCAAGAAGTTACGTTACAGCCTGGATGAGATGTCGACTGTCTTTCTCTCTCCTTCGGTCGGCTTTGCTCTGCCTCAGGGGAACGAGAGCTTCTGCCCCAATTCCGACAACTGCTGCAGATATTGACTATGAGGCTACAGTCACTGAATGCCGCATAGATCTGCGGCTCAACTAATTCAACACAGATAGGATAGCTACTTATGTATTAGGATATTTAATATTAAGGTAATTAAATGGTGGCGAAGGTGTGGCTATTGGGGGAGGCTGGAGGCCACGTTTAAAAAAAAAAAAAAAAGTAGTAGTAGTAGTAATAATAATAATAATAATACTAATAATAATAATAATAATAATAATAATAATAATAATAATACTAATAATATTATTTAAAAATAATTAATAAAAATAGATACAAATTATAACCAAAAAATAAAAATTCTAATAATAATAGCCATAAATAAATACACAAACGAAAAAATAAATCAAGAGTGACAAACGGTATACAGTATGTTGTGTAGTCAATAGTAAGAGAAACAACTGAAACCCTGTAATTGTGTGTAAATGAGGCAGAAAGTCAGATCAGCAACCTGGGACTTGGTCAAAATTTTTGTGATGCCATATGGCAGCAGGGTCTACCATTAGACAATACATTATGCTTCCAATATCTTCCCAGGCGGTAGTACCTCCCTGTTTGGTAGCTTTCTACTACCCGGTTGCCATTAGCCAAGTTTATTCGCTGAAGCCCTTGCTATCACCAACCCACTTTTACAGAGAGAACTGGGCATTAAATGTAGGACTTCCAAGTACTGTACCCTCTTAGCTGGCAAGGCAAAGTTATGGGGAACCTGGCTAATTATCTAAGTAGTGGAAAGTGAATGAAGGTCCCATAGGCCGGATGTCTCATTAGGGACAGTGAGTACAGTATTTAGTCTCAACACATAAGGAGGTAATGTACCTGGCACTCCACTTCACTTCCTGAACTGCAGTTATGTACACATCACTGGGTTAACTGAGGGTTCCCCATGTGTGAATCAGTGACCTTTAGACAAACACTATATCCATTTGGCTATGACAACTCATAAGTTGTAGTAAAATCAACTTCCCAATTCATGAATTTATAATGTGCATAAATTAGCCCCAATATCATTAACTAATTCCGTAATTAAAAAATAATGGAATGACAAACCATTGTGGTTGTGTTTCAGTGTAGAGAACAGATGATGGATGAATGTGCAGTGGTTGGTTTCCTCTCACAGTGTGATAAAAGCCTGAGTGATGGAGGAATGCTGCATTTGGGAACATGCCAGCTGTGATGCATCTGCACACTGCATCTATTCCACCTGTTAGTAAGAGATACAAGTAATTAAATATTTTTCATATTATTAAGAGCAATGCTCACTATGTAATGATAATGACTCACAAACACTGATATGCTACATCACATGAGCTTGGGACTGGACTGGGGTAATATTTTTTTTACAAAATGAAATGCAATTCTAGTTACAGTAAGTCCTCACTTAACGTCAGCCCGCTTAACGTTATTTCGGTACTACGTAGCTAAACTTTAGAGACCAAAAATTCACTTAGCATCCCGGTGATCCGATACTACATCTTTTGCGTCATCACAGATTGCTTTCTACGGCGCTCTTATATGGCCACGCTACTCTCTCTCAGCTTGGCGCGCTGCCCTCACTCACAGAATGTCACAGCATCCCCAAGCGACGTCAAGCCAGTCTCTGTTATGATCTCACATCATTCGTGTACTTAACTGCTTTTTGCTGTAAAACTGTACTCTAACCATTCGAAATGGCTTCCAAGTGCCCATCAAGTGCTACTGATGCTAGTGTAGTGAAGAGGCAAAGTAAGACCATTACCCTCGCTACAAAAATGGATGTATTAACCTGATTTGAAAAAGGGGAATGTGCTGTGGACATAGCAGCTGTGCTTGGTCTAACCCCCACAACAGTGAGTACTATACAGACCAACACTGACAAGATTAAGGTTAGTGCTGGAAGTGGTTCTTCTCTGAGTGCTACTAAGACAACTCGTACTAGAAGCACTGTGATAGAGAAGGTGGGAAAGATGCAGGCTATGTGCATGGAGGACCAGAATCAACGCAATGCCCCTGTGAGCTTTATGGTTATCCAGCATAAGGCCAGATCCTTGTTTGACGACATAAAGGCAGAAGAGGGTGAAGGATCGAAGGAAGAGACCTTTACGGCCAGCCGAAGCCGGTTTTAACGATTTAAGCGCAGGTATAACTTCCACAACATCAACATGACTGGTGACGCTGCCAGTTCAGATACGGTTGCTGCCGAGACATTCCCGCCTGAATTCAAGCAGATTAACCAGGAAGGAGGCTACTCATCAAAGCAAGTCTTCAATGTGGATGAGACTGGTCTCTTTTGGAAGAGGATGCCTGAGAGGATCTACATCTCCAAGGAGGAAAAAAAGTGCACCAGGTTTTAAAGTAGCAAAAGACCGCTTGACGCTGCTGCTTGCACGCTGGTATAAACAATAATGAATCTTTTGTACATAAGAGAAATGACGCTGTTTACACGATTGTGCATGTCGTCTGAACTTTGGTGGGCCGTTCAAACCCGTCAAAATTCGAGTTTCCGCCGTCAAAATTTTTAAATGTGTTGTTTATTTTGTGTGTTCAAATAGAAAATGTCGAATTAAAAACTCAGAAAATTTGAGAAGCTACTGTACGACATTTAACCCTTCAATATGTCTTCAAAGAGACCATGAAGCAGAGAAAGTGGTGCTAGTGCTTCAAAGCGTAAGCACAAGTCACTATCTATCCAGGAAAAAGGTGAATTTCCATGGTCCGGCACTGGTCAGGTCCCGATTTTCTGTACAGGTATATGTAATGTATTTCATGGGGCAAAGGGAGGCTGGGGAACGTAACTCCTGTATTCTATCTATTTCTTATGGGGAAAATTGATCCACTTAACGTTGTTTTGTATAACGTCGCGTTTTCAGGAACGTAACCCCAACGTTAAGCGAGAACTTACTGTATTTCACCCAATGAGTTCTTACGATCATAAATATTGTATGTAATTAGCTGTACCATGAGGTTAAAATACTGATTAGATATAACTTGTTATATTACAGATATAACTTTGAGGACTGTATTACAAGACTAATCATAAAACATAAATAGAGAAAAAATAACTGGAAATGATTCAAACAAGCTTCTAATGCACTATGCAATAGTGAAATTATGGCTGATCTCAAATGGAACACAAAGGAATAACAAAAGAAGCTGTTATTAAAGAGGAGTTCATAACAGTGGCAGATTTAGAAGTCTTCAAAGTGTGCAGCTGAACAGCGCCTTTTTATGTTTATTTTTATTACTTTACTGGCGAGTTATTTTTTTCCGATTCACTAGTTTACAACCTCGGGAGGATGGGGATGTATATAAGCTATAATACACAGTTGTTTACTTAAAGGTCTATGGCAAACAAAAATAACTCCATTTCTTAGGCCTGGGGTAATCAATTTTTTGGGGGGTGTTTTTACTTTTATAATATATAACAGTTTGTGGGTGTGTTACTAAAATTAAGTAGTGTGGAACTCAGGGGCCCCACAGGTCTAAATCTGGTGCTGGCTCAAAGCACAGCATTGTAAAATAATTATACTGTATGGCCTTAATTTGTAATTTCTGGTTTTGAGTATTAAAACCTGTTCTGTGTCTTACTCTGTGAATTTTGAGGTGAAAATACTTTATCATAAGAACAGATCTTGATACCTAACATCTCCAAATGTATATGAACGACACAAGTCTCATCTTAGTATGAGGGTCCAGTATTGGCTAAGGTACTCAGTGCCAAAATAACCAAGACTTTGAGTGGGTCTCAGGTGCTGGACCACTGACTACTATACAGCTTTAGTTATGCTCTTGAGTGTCCATGTTATGTACAGCTTTAAATAGATGAGCAGATTTATCTCCACTCAGAGTGATGGAGGTTCCTATGTGCAGGAAATCCAAGCTAAAGAGGTGCCATTACATACCGTGGAGTAGAGTACTCTTAGTCAAGATATTACCTTCACAAGAAGTTAATGGAATATCAAAATTAACTAAAAGCTTTTCCATTCTTCCCCTGATCTCAGCTGCTCTGCGTAATGCACGATGGTTGATAAATTTCTCCACGCACCACCGTCTGGATTCTGCATGCTTTTGATAACCAGTAAACACATTTAATAAGGTGATCAAATCTCCTTCATTAACCTGAAAAAAAGAAGTTTAATACAGTATCTATTATGTACAAAACTGAAACACTATTATTGATCCTTTACTTTCTAATATACTGTATAAGGTATATTAATTCAATACAACCAGAAATGACATTCAACCTATTTAAAGATAAAAATCTACACAGCATATGGTTACCCAACTGTTTATGTTAATCAGGTATGAGAACAGCATTAGTATAGCATCACCACTAAGCTTATGCTTGTGTACTCTGTTGTTATTATTCCAGTGTTATTGCTGCTTAAGAGAAGACTCCCCAGTCAGTTCTTATAATGTTCTGGCAATGCAAGTGTCCGATAATTCAACAGACAGTACTGCACAGTACTTCACTGCTGTATTAATCAATATTAGGGTTGAACAATGTGATATCTATTATCCAAAACAATTATTTTATCCTAAGCACTAATGGTTTAGACCACTTGAGATCAAAGAAATCCTATTGTACCGTCCCTTTTTTTTACATACCTGGAAATTTCTATGGATGACTCGAGCACGATGTTCCTGACCTCTAGGCTTTGTGAAAACATTCTGGACCTGCAACATTGCTACAATAGACAAAATTTCTTGAGAACACCCAAAGTCACCTGAAATAAAGATATACAATCATTAATTACCTGTATTATGCAAATATGATAACAATTATCCAGAGCAGCTAATTATTATACAATTTATACCGATAAAGTTCTTGATGTTTGTGCTTCTCTCCCAGTTTTGTGTGGAGTAGAAATGGTAAAATAAGGGCGTGAAATAATGAAGGAAAGTTGTGTAGAGAATGACAGGAAAGGGTCGAGAAAACACGTGGAACAATTATCCCACTATGAACATACAGTAGTACCCTGCTTAACGCGGTCAATAAAACCCACAGGGTACCGTGTTAAGTGAAAACCGCGCTAAGTGAACAACAGAACATATGGGATTAATTCCAATAGAAACTGGCCCGACCCCCAAACTCTACTTTTTCCAACACAATACCTATGTTCTAGTAAAAATAACATCTTAATTTTATGATGGTACATGCACACAATTAATACTTAAGAGAAATAGAGAAATACAGTTGCCAAGTTAATGTCCATTCAAATAATGGACTCAACTCCCTCCCCCTCTTCTCACACTACACTCACTGGCTCTTCCCTCTGAGAAATTTTTGGGGGAAAACCAGGTATAGTAATAAATAATTCCTCAAACTAAAGTTAGGATAATATAATTGACATTGCTGGATTCCTTGTAAGACCAGGAATATTTTGAATATAAATGTCATATATTTTTCACAAAAGATAACATATTTACTCAGAGTAAACATTATATCTAAAATTTGTATGTCTAATGCAAAATCTATGATGTTTATATTCAAAATGATCATCAAATTATAAGAATTCCAGCAATGTAAATTATATTCTGGGGTAATTTGTATGAATTTTATGAGCTATAACAGGCAGGCAGGCAGGGTGGCGGGTGGCGAATCTAAAAATATCTTTCGAGCTGGACACTCTCATTACAGTTAACCCTCACTTTACGCGGTTAATGTAACCCGGAGGTACCGCGAAGAAAGGCGGTTAATGTAACCGGAAGGTCAACGGAAGAAGAATTGCGTAAAGTGAATAACATAACATATGGGATTAATTGAAATGGAGTCCGGGCCGATCCCCAAACTCCACTTTTTTGACGACACACAACTATGTTGTAGTAAAAATATTATCTTAACTTTATGATGGCATACACACACAATTAATAATTAAGAGAAATATCAATAATATTAGGTTTTTTAACACTTACATTAGTAGGAAAGATGGCTGGGCACACGGGGATGGGCGGTTGGTTCCGAGGCAGAGGGCAGATTATTGGCCCTCACCTGTATCACTTGTATCAATTGTATCACTATCCACCACAGAGGCTTGCAGGGCCTCTTTGTCAAACCCCCAAAAGTTCATATAAGTCCATATCCTCACTATAATTATCACTATCACTGACTTGGGCCGGCTGTAGTGGGTGGCGGGTGAAGAACTGGTAATGTTTTGATGACTGGGCGACCTTGTGCGCACCATTTTCGCGCCTCTTACACAACATGGCGGATGGCGGGAGGTTTGGATCAAAAAATGGCGCGGCTTGCCAGCCGCTCTCTGCGTAATGGGGTTCACGACCGCGGAATGTGAGCATGTTAGGTTCCGGCAGAGACGCACGCGTTAGCAATTGAAGCGGAATCTGGGACGCGTGCGCAGTGAACCTTGGAATCTGGGGCCAGCGTGTCGCCATGAAGTTGAATGTGGCGTAGAAAAACCGTAGCGTTAAGTGAAAGTTCAGCTCTGGCGAGGCACCGCGTATACGTGAAATCGCGCTAAGCGAAACCGTGTTAAGCGGGGTATTACTGTATATTGTGCACATCACTGCTTATGTACAAAGCAAAGTGATGTTAACATATTCTTTCCCTACATGTTTTTGTCATTGACCCACTGACCTGCCGAATGTTGAAGAACTAAATGCTCTGGTTCGTAATACTCCCCCCACCCCCCCCACCCAAAAAAACAGATACAAAGTCCAGAATATCTCATGATACTCAATACTAAATTTTAATGTACAATAGTACCCCGATTTACTCGGTCAATTGAACCCACAGGGTACCGCGTTAAGTGAAATCCGCGTAAATGGAACAACAGAACATATGGGATTAATTCCAATAGAGACTGGCCCGACCCCCAAACTCCACTTTTTCCGACATAATACCTATGTTGTAGTAAAAATAACATCTAAATTTTATGATGGTATGCTCACACAATTAATATTTAAGAGAAATACAGTCGCCAGGTTAATGTCCATTCAAATAATGGACTCAAATCCCCCCCCCCCTCTTTCCAGCTCACTAGTTCCTACCTCTCTGAGAAATGATTGGGTGAAACACTAGATTTTAACGTTTAGTAATAAATAATACCTCAGACTAGAGTTAGGATAATATAATTGACATTTCTGGATTCCTTGCAGGTCAGGGAATATTTTGAATGTAAACTTCATATATTTTGCACAAAAGATAAAATACTTGCTTTGTGTAAACCAAATTATTACATTAGATCTAAAACTTGTATGTCTAATGCAAAATCCATGATGTTTATATTCAAAATGATCATCATATTGTATGAATTCCAGCAATGTAAATTATATTCTGGTCCAGTAATTTGTATGAATTTTATGAGCTAAAACAAATATCTTCAGTTAATATAAAAAAAAATATTCTTCACGACACTATCTGTCAATCAAAGTACCCCAACTTGCCTCCCCCCTTCTTCCAACCGCGCCAGATGGTCGGTCAGTCCCAACCCTCCCCCCAACCCCCCACCTTCCCTCCCTACCAGAGAAATGTTGGGTGAAAAAACTAATTTTAACTTTTAGTAATAAATAAAACCTCAGGCTTAAGTTAGGATAATATCATTGACATTGCTGGATTCCTTGTAAGACCAAGAATATTTTGAATATAAATGTCATATATTTTGCACAAAAGATAACATATTTACTCAGAGTAAACATTAGATAGAAAATTTGTATGTCTAATGCAAAATCTATGATGTTTATATTCAAAATGATCATCAAATTGTAAGAATTACAGGAATGTAAATTATATTCTGGTCGGGTACTTTGTATGAATTTTATGAGCTAAAACAAATATCTTCAGTTAATAAAAAAAAATATTCTTCACACCGTGCCAGATGGTCGGTCGGTCCCTCCCTCCCCCCACCCCCCACCAACCCTCCCTACCAGATAAATGTGTGGGAAAACCAGAATATTTACCTTTTTAGTAATAAATAATACCTCAGACTAAAGTTAGGATAATATAATTGATATTGCTGGATTCCTTGTAAGACCAGGAATATTTTGAATATAAATGTCATATATTTTGCACAAAAGATAACATATTTACTCAGCTAATGCAAAATCTATGATGTTTATATTCAAAATGATCATCAAATTGTAAGAATTCCAGCAATGTAAATTATATTCTGGCCGGGTAATTTGTATGAATTTTATGAGCTAAATAAAAAAAAAAAAAAATTATACTTCACGCGTGTATGGGTAGATGAACCGGGTAGATGAACCACGTAAAGTGAAAGTTCGGTTCTGGCGAGGCACCGCGTATATGAGAAATCGCGTAAAGTGAAACCGCGTAAAGCGGGGTACAACTGTACTGTATTACCCAGCAGAGCAAATGTGTCTCCAAATGTTAATTAACACAGGAACTTTCATACATGAAAGAAGTACTAAAGAGTATATTTCACGACTGAACAATGAAGTCATAACCTATGAACTGTTACTTATTATCGCCCATTTTTTAAGGAGTTGGTTGCAAAATGTTGTTGTTGGTGGTACAGTGGTAACATGCATAACTCTTACCAATATGTCAAGGGTTCGAGCCTCGGCCCAGACACACGTGAGAAGGGTGTTATCCAGTGTGACCCTCACAACCAAACACCACAGGTTTACCGGTCCCCAGTCTCCTCCTGTACTAACACTGGATAGACCATCCAAACGGCTAGTAAGCTGATAAGTGGCAAATATGATATAAATAACTGAATAATGGCTCAGTTCCACTTGCTAAAATTTGAGAGACATGGGTATGTATAACCCATGGGCCCTGGCAGGATATTACAGTCACCCTTGAAAGACTACTGGTCATAAAACAAGTGAAAAATAAATTTAGCCTTGCAAAATCCCTAAAGATAACTTGAGAGCTCAGTCGACTGACACTCGCAGCAAAATGTTAAATCTGAAATGTGAGTCTTATGTTTATGATCAAGGAATCTCAGTGAAACCAACTAAATTAGGGTTCATTCCTGAGATGTTATGGAAGGTGATCTTGAAGGTCATTTGTCAAATAAGCTATAAAACAATGTAAAGTCTAACCTCACAGTACCCATGTCTGAGAAATTATTGGCTCCATCAAAGTATCATGGTTAATACATTTATCTCATAATTTTACCTGATACAAGTAACATCTTCGCTAATTGAGGAGATAAAGGAAATTCTGCCATCTGCTGTCCCAGTGGCTTAGTAAGGGTACCCTCTTCTGTTAGAGCTCCCAGTGCATAAAGCTCATCTAATGCTGACGTCAAATGTTTCGCTGGAGGTGGAGAGGGAAAGTCAAACCTCAGCATGTTTTCTGGAAAAATAATGAAAGAATTGATAATATTAAGATAATGGAAATACCTTTACAGTACACTCCATCTGCTTAGAGATATCTACAATAAGAAAAATGACATGCTGTTATTTTAATTTTACAGAAGTATTAGTTTAAAATTTAAACACATGACGTTCAAGTTTGTAATGCATGTACGTACTGTATAATACTCTGCATCAACATACTGTAGTTAACAGTTCCCAAGAGCCCCACCAGCTCTCAGTTGTTTCAAATACATTACTTAATCTATCACTCATGTAAAGGAGTTCTTCAAGCCTTACTCCAGATCTTTTAATTTTCTCTTTAAAAAAAATATTTTTTTTTTTACAAATATATCTCCTCACTTTATTTCCACTGGAAATATTCTTAGTTGAAATGTTATTGTCTGTTTAGCGGAAAACTTGGCAAACACATCTTTCTGCTCAGACCATCTTCAAATTAAAGTGGAAATAAAGGTCAAATTAAGACTACTGTATATGTATATGCTTCGTGTCAATATAAAGTCATCCAAAACAACCTTGTAGAACAGCTGGAAGAGAATATGAGATACATAATAATAACAATGATAACAATAATATTGGAATAATGGACAGAGTAAATATGGTACATACCAATCCCTAAAGCCATCAAGTTGAGCACAGCTGAAGACAGATTTGTACGGACCATTTCAGGTGGTGTGATTTCACTAAGCTTCCTAAATTCTTCCTCTGGGTAAAGTCTGTAAATAAAACACAGACCAATACTTAATATATATGGATTTGTTTTAATTTTTCCACACTAAGTACTGTATTGTACTTGACATATACCTGCCCCTTCACTATTTTACTTACTCACCTTAATTGCACTTTTCAATTCTCCTCTATACAGGCATACTTATTATTTTTTTAAACTTCTTAAAACCTTGCACTGCTTCAGCCTTAAAAACATGAATTACCTCTTATTAATCTTAACTTGTTTTCAATTCATAATACTTTGTCACCACTTGATTTGTACCGAAATCTGAGTAAATAATCTGAATATCTCTTTCCTTCTAGAACTTGAGATAAACTACTTACATTATCTTTGCAAAATATATCAGTAATGTAGCATTGACTCTTCAATAAGATAATTATAATTCAGTAATATTTTACTGTATCCTGTGTTTATTTTTTCAAGCCCTCCTGACTTATTTTACACTTTTTTCATATAATTTATTAGTTTTGTAAGAAACCTTTTTTTTAACAGCCTAAAGCAATATCTTTATACCGGTAGTCTTAAGCTAGGATTCCATTCACGCAGTAGAGGTAGCAATAGCATTAGCGCCAAAATAGATCATATTGAAATGTACACGGTTGTTTCCACTGGCATGTACCGTTAGTGTAATGCGTTTGCAGTACATTTCAATCGGTCACTGTAGTGATTGAAAACGCAACCTCATGGAAATGGACAAGGAAATCCCACTGTGACGTCACTAGTTTTATATATCATTTTACAAGATCCATATATTTTTGACACATTCGTTCTAAAATGAAGGTTTATGGTCCCAATAAAAGGGTTCTTTGGAATAATATTTTTGTGTAACGTAGTATTTATCAATGGTCCCTATTATTTCCTATGTTATAATTATGCATGACTTACCTTATACAGGTACTCCTCGACTTATGACCTACTTGACTTACGACCACCCGGACATACGACGGCCGCAGTCGTATAAAATATTTTTCAAATTACGTATTTTCGAGTCCCGACGTTAGTGATCGCGCTGTGTACTGAAAAAAATTTCGTTTGTAATTCCTTTTAAAATGGCTGGCTGGCAAGCGTAAAAGTGAGAGTTCTCGTGGTGCTGAGAAGGAAGAGACACCCATTTTAGATTTTCTATGTATTATTTTTGCATTTTCGACTTAAGGCCTGGTCGTCGGTCTCTAACCCCGTCGTAAGTCAAGGACTGACTGTACATATTGCAAGTCATTGCCCTGAGCAAATGACTTCTCTGTTCCTGCAGTGTTTCACCAAATCCTCCTCAACCAAGGAAAGAATATATGCAAAATGTTATCTTCTGAGACAAAAATATTCTTTGAATTTTTCTTCTTCCAAGCTTAGGTCTTTTTCAAAGTATTGTAGGCTCCAAATTTGGACCAATTCAGCAGTAATTTATGCACCCACCATCTACATTTCCTTGATCGTTTTCCCTTTGCTTCACGCATGATCTTATACAAAATCAGGATAATTAATAGCAAATCATCCTGTTCATATAAATAGTGTCAGAGCTTTGATGCACAGGAAGGCATTTTTTCTGCCCTGTTCCCGCTGTGTTTAAGACAGAATATGCAACTGCAAATGGAAAAAGGGGTGTCCGTTTTCCAAGGCAATTTAAAGCAAACACATACTGCAAACGCATACAGGTATATGGAATCCTAGCTTAACAGTTGCTCTTTCACATCTTTTTATGACTTTCCCTAAACATTGGCCAAATTAAGACATATACTTTGTAATTACAGACAGACCAGAGGATAGACAGTGAACAAGATATACTATACTGTACAGTACTGTACTTCTTACTTTATACTGTACAGTACTTACTGGGAAATGCCAAAATATAAAGCTCAGAGAATCCTTATGTATCAAAAATTTCCTTATCATAGTTTCAATATGAAACATGGGCAGTTATAGAAATGACATTGAGTGAGTTGAAATGACAATGGTGAGGTAAATGTGGAACTGATATTGAGAGTTAAGAAACCCTGTTCAGAGATAAGAGGGCGGCTGGAGATTTTGAGTATTGGTGAGGTGTTATATAGAAGTAGGTTGAGATGGTTTAGGCATGAGGAGAAAATGGAGGATATCAATTGAGTTACAAAATAAATGAGTTTATATGTGACTGGATGAAGAGCTAGGGACTGTGCACCCTGGAGAGTTGGGAAAAGGCAAATATAGGTAACCTATGCAAGCAAACACGAAAAAGGGCCATAAAACGAATATGATGAAGATATTCAATTATCACAATTTTTTTCTTTTTTGTAAAGTCATAAGAAAAAATTCAAACCACTCACATAAATTACTTTCAGCTGAACAGCAACGAATGAGACCCAGAGTCTAGATGCACAATAAGTGTTTTCACTCTACCGTGCATCCCTCTACTATGCAGCATGATGGGTGTTCAGTTGTAACACAAACATGAGAGTGAGAACAAACACATGCCTCTCAATTATATTCTATACTGTATTTCATACATATTTGTAACTATTTCACATTTTTTATTAAATTTTAAGTGTTTCTGTACAAAAAATCAACCCAAATTCACCCCAAACTGCATGCCAGGAATACATTATCGTAACTATTATTGCCAAATGTATATTACAGCAATCATTAAGAAAGGTCATTTATAATTTTATGATTTGTCTCATGTATGAAAATATAAAAATGGTTGTTTAGTTATATTAAATATTGTTTCCAACTCAAGACACGCATTTCTACCGTCATTTGTTTATTTAGGATGACACGTGGCATCCCCTTGAAAAAGAGACTGCATGCTCTTCATGCTGTTGATTTGTCCACACCACAGGCTGCATCACATATAGTTTCTTCCCAACAATTCTCCATCCAGCCAGCCCTATACACTACATTACCATCACGCTACAGATAAGTAAACTCAATATTATAAGAGCACACGCAATTACTGTATTGGTTTTACAACTTCAAGATGCCTGGTCAACACACATCAAGACACAACACAATGGTTAGAACACTTTGAAACGTTCACAAACCAACCAGTCTTTTCCTGACTTGCCTTGGGTCAGGTCATGCAACTTCCCTTAACCTTTTATTGGCAGGTATATTTATGTGTGCTCTTCCCCACAGGATGGGGTATATTTTGCTACATAGAAAATGGAACAAGTTATGTAAGATAATGTTGTTCATATACATGTAACACACATCCTAATTGAGATATTTCACTTTCTTGTATATTAGAAGGCTGAATTCTTTTTTTACAAATTCGTATTAGCCAATAAATACGAGAAATAATAATTTCTTGGAGAAATCACGAGATGAACTGGGAGTACATGTTTTTCTGGTAGCTATAGATATTTAATGTTTTCATGTGTAGGCTTAGAAGTTCAAAGCATGAAGGACAAGGTCTGATAACCTTTATTGTATTAAAACAGCAAATACCAGGCTAAATAACTGGCATAAAAATTATCTTAAGAAAAAATTGCTTGGCGAAGCACGGCGCTCTATTGTGTAAGTTAATGTGGTTCAAATCCACATATAACAATTCCTATAAGAGAAAATGTAATTTTTTTGTTATGGAAAGAAGGCCAAATTCTTGTTCTTTAAATTGTACTCAGCAACCCTGTACTCAAAATAAATAAATTATTAGGTACAACATGTGTTGACATTTTCTATGCCCATTTTCCCTCGTGGGAGGCGATGGGATTGGAAGCACTTGTATCTCCCATCGCGTCTAGAAGAGCACTGAGTGAATATCAATATTTGTAGCCATGCCTTGCCTAGGCTGGGGAGGTGGCAGGATGATGTCTGAAGGAAGCCACTAAAGTAATTAGACAACACAGCCACAGGCGCACCCAAACAATGGCACCACCCTTTATGCGTTTTCCTCCTCTCAAACATCCCATGATGTTTACTGCCCTTTAAGGGTTAATATCTTGTTTCTTATGGTAAATAAACTTCACACATCACAAGGGTTTTTAGGAATGAAACCCTTGTAATAAGTGGAGACTACCTGTAACCTGTACATATAAATCAGAGATGAAAGTACAGTGTATACTGTATCTGCTACCTATGTAACTATTTAAAAGTCAAATCTTTCATCATTAGAAATCAGTGCTCAGTTAGGCACGCTTCAAGAGATAAGGTTCATCTTACCTGTACACCTTTCCTGAACGGGTTCTTCCTGCTCTTCCTGCCCTCTGAGTGGCTGATGCTTGAGATGTTGGAACTACCACAAGGGCATCTGTGTGACTGGTGGAGTTGTACCATCGTACCTTCACAAACCCACAATCAATAACTGTTCAAAATATGCAACCAATTACAAATTAATTTACCCACTTGCTAAAATAGATATTTACTGTGTAACATGTCATTTTCTTGGCTGGAAATAAAAGTTATTGCCATACAGAAAAACTAATGAAAACCAGGACTTTCTTGGAACAAAGCTGATTTACTCAGTGAAAATACATTACCCAAATGAACATTAACTTTACCATATACAATGCCAGGTATGGTGACAGAGGTCTCGGCTATATTGGTGGCCACTATCACTTTCCTCACTCCTGGTGGTGCTGAATGGAATACTCTCAGCTGATCACTGTTTGATAGGGCTCCATGCATCGGCAAAACCAGAATAGAACCTGAGCAGAAATAAATGTGACAAAATAAATAACACAACTTATAATACTAGAATTAAATCATAGGCATGGTGACAATGATCTCCCAAATCTCTAGTTTATCTCTCATCTTTAACGATTAACTGATGAGTGTATTTGTTTGCTGAAAAATCAACATACCCCTGGTACCTTAATAAGCAATATAGATAGCAAAAATAATGCAAAAAAGATAAACAATAAAAATCTAATAGGTATTTTTTTTCAACTTTTGCAAACTTTCCCCCATTATACTGCAAGAGCCAAGAATTAAAACAGCCTCTCTCTTCATTAGCTGCCATTCAATAATTTTTAACATTGTAAAATTATGTTCTTCCAAAACAAAGTTCCAAAGGTTTGGTTTATCCCTTTGGTTTCACATAACCTACTATTACCAACCAACAGCACCTCCATATCCTTAAACAACTTGATGCCCATATCTCTAGTCTTCAAATAAAATACACTGCTTCTTGAATGTCCATCTCCTCATTTTTGTTCATTCTTCACTTTCTTCCACTCTCCTTCCTATAATGTTTGAGTTATACACTGCACACTCATTTACCATTCTTTCAATACAGCGGTCCCTCGGTAACGAGCACAATCCGTTCTAAAAGGTTGCTCGTTAACCGAAAAACTCGTTTACCGAAACCATTGTTTCAATGGTTTTTGGGTAATTGGTTCCAGCTCACCGAAAATTGCCTAAATTCAACAAAAAAGGTAGAAAAGTACACTTACTTTGAGGTGTGTATGTAGAAGGCTCCTGGATGATGATGATGATGGGAATTAGAATGGGGGGGGGGGAGGAGAAGGGAGAAGAGAAGGCATTGGGGTGGAAGAGAACTCACCCCATGGCGCCATTTCACCCATAAAATTTTAGTTCTCTTGGTGTAATTCAAGATTATTTTCTTTAAATCAACACTGCACTGCATCATATATTGTCAATATGTAAAATAAATTTCAAAATGACCAATAATTTGCTTGCAAACACAGAAAAAAGGCATTTAGTTGAAGAGAGTCTCAAGCAAGATGTTACCTCCACTGAAAAGACACAAAGACTGACGCCTGTATGGTGTGTTGAGAGGCTGGATGGCGCGCATAAAACTAGTTTCATTACCCTCAATTATGTTCAATAATTGTTAAAATGACTAAAAAATTTAATATTAAACTTTTAAAATTATTGAATAGTATAAACTTCTTGATATTTGCTAAAATGGTAAGGAATTTAAGCCCTAGAACCGATTACTGTATTGGCGGACTAATACTACAGCTGGTGGACCGCCAAATGCAAGCGAAAACATGTTCAGGTCGGCTCGTAAGAAACTCGTTAATCGAGGGATTGCTCGTTAACTGAAGTTATGAATCTTATGGAAGGTAACTCGTTAACCGAAATCTCGTTAACCGAGGCGCTCATTAACCGAGGCGCTCATTAACCGAGGGACCACTGTATGTCTTTACAGCACCACCTTCTGGTAGCTCTCTGCTTGGCAATTTTTTTACGTCCACTTTCTGTATTTCTTCATTTCTTCAACCTCTTCACCCTATGTTTTGTTTCCAAGTACAATATGTCATTTCTGTCATTTCTAAAGTGATTCTTCTTCTTGCATCCACAGTTTATACAGGCCCTTCTCCCCCCTACAGTAAAGCTACACCACTTACGTACAGAATTTGATTTTGATCCATACAGCAGAAACTTTGTTACCGTACAGAAACCATTTGTATGACTGTCTATCTCCAAGCATTTTCAAATAACTCCTTATGTACTATACTGCATGGAAATGCCTCATCACAAAAAAAAGTCTGGAATTCAACATATGAGTCATTTGCCACTTGTTACCTTCATTTTTCTTAAGAGTTGCTGCATGTTCCTTGAGAAGAGATACACAAGTATCTACTTCCTCTGCTCCAGTGAGAAAGACTAACACATCACCCGCACCTTCTTTACGGTGGATTTTCATAACAGTTTCTGCACTGCCCTTCACATACTCAGGTGCTGGTTCTGGTAAAATAAATAAAATAAAAATAATTATGACAAAATGGTGAGCAAATATTATAATTCCTTTTCTTTACAACCTACTCTACCTAACTCTTATCTCTAAATCTCTTTTCAAGTAGTTGACAAGGAGGAACCAACATACAGTTCAACACCAACAAACTGCAGAAACATACAGGTACCAGAGAGTGGCCATGCTGTCCTCAAATCATGACACATTATGAAGGAGCAACCTTTTCCTCCTTAAAAAAAAAAAAGTGCCTGTATTCTTCCTATCCCTTCAATGACAACCATCTCCATTAGTAGTTGAGTTCTACCCCAAACAAGAGACTGAAGCCAACACATCCACTCCCAGTGCAGAAGCTTCCTCACTACCACCCCGACCTGACCATCTCTTGGCTGTGTACTGTCCAAGGGTCCAAAGTTACTCTATCCACAAGTCACCAACAGTTCAAGTAAATTTTGTACTGTTTTGCCTCCTGTTCCTAAATCAGTAACAGCTCCATATCATGATTCATGGGCTGAACCACATCACCATCACTAAGAAATAAAGTTATTGATCTCCATAAGCTGAGGCAGCAGTAGAATCGGCTCTATGAAGAAGAATATCCAAATATCACAAGCTGAACAACACTTTGGTGGAAAACAGTTCATAATACAACAAAGATCATAATCAGGACACATGATGTACTTGACTTGTATGTGTACCAATCATTACACTCCTTGGTCACACACACCTTGTCCTTGAAATTACACCCAAATTACTTAAGGATACTAATGGGTTTTCTACCAATGAAGACTAAAAACCAATGTTCAGAGCAATCACCAAGTGCCAGCAACATGAATAATATGATGAACAAGACTGAGAACTGCAAAAGCAAACAAGATGACACTCAAGCAGGTCACTAACTCACACTAGGTGCTAACTTCTTCAATGTTGTGACTTTTGACTTTTTCATCCCTAAAACATAAGAACTCTTGGTTCAGTATTGTCAAACAGAATGTAATTATCAAGTAAGAACATTGGAATTTTATCTCTTTCTGCATAATCACATATTGTTGACATACACAGTCAGATATTCACTGGCATATTTAGATACATACTGTACAGCACTGATCACCCAACCTATGTGACAAAATTGAGTACGAATTATTAAGTACAGAAAGTATCTGATAAAATTACTCTATGGAGAAAAAAGAAACAGAAAAAATCACTTCAAGTATATATTTCTTCCTTCCAGTTCCCAGTCACACTTGTAAATCATACCCGACTAAAATATCCTTATCTAAAATCACCAATCTAGCCCATACAAACTTCATCTCAATCACTTGGAACTGGTAAATGATAAGTAATTCTCTAAACATGATTCTTTTACTGTTCCGTACCTTCAAGATAACAGACATCAATGGGGTGAGTCCGTCCCTCGACTGACAGCACCGACACAGTGTCTTTATCCTTGTCTCCAGTGGTGTTATAATTGAAGAAATTATATAACTGATCTGCATCGATTGTTGCTGAGCAGATGATCAAGCGCAAGTCTTTGCGTCTGCGGAGAATTTTCTTCATAAGTCCGAGTACAATATCAGTGTACAAGGTTCGTTCATGGACTTCATCAAGCAGGATGACACAATACTGTAAGAGCATTGAAAAGATTATATTTATTATGAATTTAACTTTAATCTTCTCTATTTCTAATATTACAAACCCTTTCCCACTTTCGTGAAGTGTGACCAGAATTAAGAGCTACAACAGCTCTCCCTTCACTTGCTCTGGCTGCTGTAACAGATAAGTTCACCTCCCAGTCCAAGGCCCCAAGATGCCACCTGATTTAACATTCGGTACATATAATTAACCCCTACGCCCCGGTTGACTTTCTGGAATGCGCGCCCTTTTGTGGCATTGTTTGAATGCCCAGCGCGGGTTATCACGTTCCAGCGTTACTATTTGCATGTCATGCCACATGCTCGGCCACAGGGAAGCTTCCTGTCCATTTTATCATGTTGTATCAAACTAATATTGCTAAAAGTAGTGTAGTTGTATTGTAAGTTAGTATTACTGGAAAATAATACTATGATTATGTTGTAAATGTATTTATTTGTGGAATTATTATTCCGATAGTTATTTATATGCATTAATTGCTCTACCAAACACGAAGACAGCCAGACATCCTAGCGACAGACTGTGTGTTGCCGAGCACTTTTTATGAAAAATAATGCAAATAAAATATTCTAAATGAATTATTTATAGGAGATAAGTATTATGATCAGTAAATATATGTATTAATGGCCATCCTGGACACAAAGACAGGCAGAAAATGGCCGCTAAGTGCGGAGTGACCATGAGCGCTAGCCGTCAAAACAACACCGTCCCCATATCTCCCTCGCCACTGCGGCTCCAGGGATGTTTCTAGAGGGTCAATATACAGTTTTTCTTACTTCTTTTTTATTGTTTTATCATTTAAGAAGGCTAAAAATTATTTTTGAAAAAGTTGATTTTTCTTGATTTACCCCACATGGGGGATACGGCCAGCGGCACCCTAGCCCGAGGCGTAGGGGCTAAGTACCATGTATCAGGAAAATGTAATTACTGTAGTTCTAACACTTCCTCTTCTCTAAAAACAGATTACTGTACTCTATGATTGTTCCTGAAAACTAAAAGTAATACAACAATTAAATGCAATGAAGCTTTGGATACACAACACTAGAATCCACATCAATAAATGAAACATAACTTATACCACACTCCTAAATCTTTAAAATGTATTGAACAAATCTTTATTATTCTCAATACTTTAAACATTACTCTAAACCCAATATGGCTTTGACCCATGATATTTATGTACCTACTCACTCAATCGCTCTGTCACGCATTCAGTGTCTACATGTCACCTTGTGTATATTGCCAGTGTCATCCATTTTCCTTATGCTTGTACTACCTATGAACCCAATCTTTCAATTTCTCAGATTATGGTACATTAATGCCCAGGAGCACACAGACTTACATGAAGTATTATTCAGTTCTGTGTTTAGCTGACCATTCTTCAAACAATTAGTTCAATTTTTTAAGGAACACCACTGAATACAATAAACCCCAGTAGTTTGATGAAGTTATATTTACAGATACATCATTGCCAAACTACAATTAGGGTTCTTACACAAGTGAAAAAAATCCACTTACAGTACACCCCAGAACATTCAGTTTAATCCTTTAACTTCATTAAATATAATTGACTCCTTACAGTGTTAATCCTAAATGAAATAAAACCATCAGTATCCTTGAAGAGAAATTTGTCAAGATGGTATGGATATGTGGAGGAAGGATGCTGGTACTCCCCCCCTGGGAAGATATTGGAAGCATAATGTGTTGTCTAATGGTAGACCCTGCTGCCATATGGCATCACAAAAATTGTGACCTAGTCCCAGGTTGCTGATCTGACTTTCTGCCTCATTTACACACAATTGCAGTGTCTCAATTGTTTCTCTTACTATTGACAACACAACATACATATATTGTTTCTCACTTTTGATATTTTTTCATTTTGTATTTATGGTCCTTTATTATTATTATTATTATTATTATTATTATTATTATTATTATTATTATTACTATTATTATTATTATAACTACTACTACAGAGTTATTATTATTATTAATATTATCATTATTATTTTAACATTATTTATTATAAATTTTATTTGCTATGAAATATTATTATTATTATTATTATTATTATTATTATTATTATTATTATTTGTTATTATTAGAGTACAGTATTATTATTATTACATTTTCGCCTTCCAGGCCCCGATGTGGGTCAGTGACCTGTGCCCGGGTGGGCTAATCCCCGAGAGAAAGAGAGAAAAAAAAATGTGTTGGGTAGTGGAAGACCACCAAGATCATGGGAGGGAAAGGTAAAATAATATATTAAGGAGAGAAGAAGGGAGAAGAAAAGGAGAATATAGAAGGTAAAGGAGATAAGCCTAGAGGTTCTTCATGGCACCCCCTCAGAAGGAGTAAGGCATCACAGAAGGGAAGTGGGTGAAATATATCAGATATTTTATAGGGGTTTGTTGGACTTGCCTTTGTACTGAGGTTAAACAAACTCATCTTCTGTGTTTAATATTCATTTCTTTGACGAAAGTTAGATTGACGGGTTGAGGCAAGTTTCTGAAACCCATGAATGTAATCACTTTTTCTCATAAGAAATTAGGTTCAATTTGCACAAAAATGTTGTGTATCTGAGGTTTATCCCAACCAAAACCTCCACTTACATTACGGGCATAGTATAATAAATAATTTCATCAAATTTTTCAATAACATATCTAAGTGGTTTATAAGGAATAAATGACAATAAAATTGGGAAAGTCTGTGTTGCTTTTGATACTGGCCACCTGTATAATTTACCCCAAAATACAATAAGCTACAATATGGTAAAGATACATACAGTACTGATCTTAATATTATGAAGTTGGCATTACAACATTAAACCTTTGAATTCTTATTGGAAAATACTAACCTGCCTCAACAAGGGGTCAGCCATCATCTCTCGGACCAACAGCCCCTCAGTCATATATTTAATCTGTGTAGTCCCAGGAGTGCTACAGTCATCAAAGCGTATGGAGTAACCAACTTCCTTCCCAAGCATAACATCACACTCCTCTGCTACACGTTCAGCTAAGGTGGTGCAGGCCACACGGCGGGGCTGTGCTATGCCAATGATTCCGTCTGCTGCCCATCCTGCGTCTCTGAGATACTGAGATAAAGAAATACTTGCTAAAAGATTTTCAACAAAGAGAAGAGAGAAGTAAAAGAATGGCAGAGAGCACAAGTAGTTCCCTTATACTGTAAAATGAGTAAGGTGATAAACATAAATGCAAAAACTCAGAATGTTGTGACGGCACCAAGTGTGAGTGGATTCAAGACCAGACTTGACCAACACTGGTACAGATACATTCTGGGGCCAATACATACCCAGTACTTGCCAACAGTGCATGACAGAGATGTGACCGATGGCCCAAGTAGACAGCAGGCCGATCAGTGGCGAAGAGGCTAAAGTAAATTAAAGTAAAGGTATACCTGTTGAATTTACTAAGAAGTGTATGATAGACATTACTGAGAAAATTGCATTAAAAAGAATGTGTACAAGAAGTACTGTACAGTATTGGTTCAAGAGAAGAATAGGATGTGTGAATGAACATGTGCAGGGAGTCTATGGAGATGATAAAGAATGTGTTTGTGGTACAGCACATATTCCTAAATCTATATAAAAAAACTACTATACTGTACAGTAGTTTATACCTCCTTAGAAAACTATTATACACTCACTTTATTCAGAGACACTCTTTACTAAATAACAAAACCTCCTGTTACCTAAACAGATTTTTATGAGTAGCTTCATATACAGTATTGTACTGTACAGGCATCACTACATTTATGAATAATCGACTTATGAGTGATTTTCTTACATTAATTAGGGGATGCCTGTACAGTGTAAATGGTCTAAGCATAATGAAATACCGTGAAACAAAGTAAATACAATTTATGGGTAAAGTAATCTCTGTTAGCCAGAATCTTTGAACCCCAGAACTCTACAAAAGCTTGATTTTCTTTAACATTCCAAGAAATTCCACAAAAAATCTCTATTCCGGGTATCCGGATAAATTTCTGAAGATTGTATCAAAACGCATTTCCAGAAAATGCTGAGAAAATATCTCCGTTCCGGGCACTCTAATGAATTTCCTAGAGATTGCATCATGTTCCCGACACAGGGACACATGCCGGGCGCACGGGTGGGTAGGCTCAGAGTGCTCGTGAGCTACGGTTGGCCACTACTGTTATATGACTGCACGGGATGTCTATGATTGGCTGGTGTATCTCATAGCCTATCTCCTCAAACTCTTGCATCATGAGACTCTTAGTTCATTGTCTGCTGCCATTGTACAAGCTTGTACGAGTGCTTTCTAATGTTTTCGTATACGCTCAGGGATGCAGTCCTGCTGGTGTGCTCCATTCACCCTAAGAGATGTTTATCTTGTTGACAGCTTGACAGTAAAATGTAATGGACCAAGATGAATATCCTCAATTCACCTTGTGACATCAAATAAGAAATGATATACAGTACGTATACTGTACTCTTGATTTAACGGAATCCATTATAACAAACTCTCGCTTTAATGGATGGAATTTTTTCCGTTATTTTTCACCCGATTTAGTGAACTAGTTCGCTAAATTGAGATTAATTCCTTTAATGCGCTCACACCTCAGACACCTAAAATGCACGTAGAAATATTATTCATGGTTTACCTTAAACTAGGGGGTTCGGTGTTTGTTTTAAATTTTTTTCTATAATTTCCAAACTTTTTTCCAATTGATAGCCGCACTCTTTTGACTTTCTCCCACACACCAATTCCTTTCTGAAACTTCTGAGAGACTTTCGGCAAATGTCTAAGCACAGTAGTTAGTTGACCGAGATGTAGCAGTGAACAACACATGCAGTGGCAACAGGACACATTACTGAGTGGCAGTAAACAAACCCCACGGCGGAATTTAACGGAATCACGAAAATAACAGAAATTCGAAATAGCGGAAATTTCGATTTAATGGAAAGAGGTGGCTTGAATCAGTTCGTTAAATCAAGAAAATACTGTACTAAGTCCCATTGGCTATAGTATATAATGTCACATTATACTGTACTGTATTAGGAGGGTCAATTTATGGATAACTACATGAACCCTAAAATAATTGCTACAAATTGTTTTCCAGTGGTTTTGTTTAATGTTGGACACGGAATAACATACAAAAAATCTATCAAACTAGGACTGCCAGAAAGTTGTTAAAACAGGGTCATTTCAAGGATGGTTGTCTCTGATATTGTCGTACACAGAGGAAAACATATTTTCCATACCAAACATACAATGAGGAAAGAGAGACACTTTTATCTAGCTATATTAGCTTTCTCTTAGGCTGCTGATTCTGGGGAACTTTAAATTTTGAAAATAGGTTGAGAATTGACTGAGATACTGTATTGCTGAAAACATATTTTAATATTGTATCTTAGCCAATACAGTACACATGTGTTTAGTTGCTCATAAATTATTCATTGCATACATTTGAGTTCATGTGCAATTGCTATGATTACACCTTTTCACATATCCGTTGAGACATTGTTACATAGCTACTTGACAAATTTCATAACCGAATGACAGAACACATATCGAATGACAATCTAAAATAACTTCGTTCATGCTAACGGATGTGATTGACATAAGTTATGGAGTTGACAGACGTGAACAATAAACCGACAGTCTACATATAGTTTGAGAATGGAACAATTGGAGAAAGACATACCACCAACAGTTATTTTAGATTGTCATTCGATATGTGTTCTGTCATTCGGTTATGAAATTTGTCAAATAGTTATGTAACAATGTCTCAACGGATATGTGAAAAAGTGTATTATTATGAATTTGCCAGTTGACAAATTGTCTTCTGAGTACCTTATATGAGGGCGTATAAGTCAACTCCCCAACTCCAGCAGCTGTCAAGTGTTGTGAAGGACCAAGTCAACCATCAACACACATACATAAACAGGTAAACAAGCCACTCTATACATGACGTCACACACAACATCATAAGTGACTGAACCAACAATCACAACAACACTGAACTCAGTTGACTTCCTGTTCATTCCACCACAGTCCACACACAGCCACTGACCAGACAGCTGACAGCCATGGCCCCTCCTGCGAACCGAACAAAGTATGAAGCTCGTTTCAAGCTGAAGGTTATTGTGTGCCAACTCTACAAATAACTGTGCAGCAGCAGCAAGGAATTATGGAATTAGTGAAAAACTTGTGAAGGATTGGAAGAAGAACGAATATACAATAAGTAAAATGGCAAAGAAAAAATATGCCTTAAGACATGGCAAAGCTCAGTGGCCAGAAATAGAAGAACATTTGAACAAGTGGATCCGTGAACACCGACAGAATGGAATCGCAATAACAAGAAATAACATCCGTGTGGAAAGTATCAAGTGGGCAAGAGCAAATCCAGACCCCAGTCAAAATTTCAAGGCTACCCCAAACTGGTGTTCTAGGTTTATGAGAAGACATGATTTGGTGTTGCGGCAGAAGACCAAAATAGCTCAAAAACTTCCAGCTGACCTCGAACACAAAGTCACCGCTTTTCAACGGTATATTATCGATCTGCGGAAGACACACAACTTTCCGCTGTGTCAAGTATGCTCAGCAATAAAACAGTTGATTCTAAGGGACCAAAAACCATTATGATGAAAAGTACAGGACAAGAGAAAACAAAATTCACTGTGGTGTTGAGTTGCATGAGAGACGGTACAAAACTGATGCTACTCCGAGAGGAGAGTGACAGTTGGCAGCACCTGGTGGAGGAGATGGTGCACTGCAGTCCAAAAGCAGGCCATCCTGTATCATCATATCACCATTTGGCCTGCCTGCATCACAAGCTCAAGATGACAGCATCTGCTGATGGGTACAGTATACAGTTGAGTCTGGATTTACGCAGTTTTAGTTTACGCGTTTTGTCATTTACGCGGTGCCTTGCCAGAATTGAAATGCTTGATTTACGCGGCAAATTTGGTCATTTACGCGGGAAGCGGCGCGGGCAGGGTGCGCACAAGGTCGCCCAGTCATCAAAACATTAACGAGTTCTTCACCCGCCACCCACCACAGCCGGCCCAAGTCAGTGATAGTGAGGATATGGACTTATATGGACTTTGAGGGGTTTGACAAAGAAACCCTGCAAGCCTGTGGTGGAAAGTGATACAATTGATACAGGTGATACAGGTGAGGGCCAATAATCTGCCCTCTGCCTCGGAACCAACCCCCCATCCCCATGTGCCCAGCCATCTTTTCTACTAATGTAAGTGTTAAAAAACCTAATATTATTGATATTTCTCTTAATTATTAATTGTGTGTGCATACCATCATAAAGTTAAGATACTATTTTTACTACAACGTAGGTATTGTGTCGGAAAAAGTGGAGTTTGGGGGTCTGCCTAGTCTCTACAGTCGACCCGCGTTAATTCGGACCCCTTTAATCCGGATTTCGGATAAATCGGACGAAATCTGAACTGTCCATACCAAATTTCTGGTTCTGGGATTGTCCCAGTTGCAATTGGGGTTGCAATTTCAAATTCTGTGTCACTACTAAGAAATAACAAAGTCCCTGGTGCACTCTAAGATTAAGAGAAAACGGACGACTCAGGCGTCCTGAAGTGAGAGAAAACGGACTCCTATGACGGGGCACTCAAATAAAGAGACATGGCTACATGTTTTGTGGACTAGCCACTGCACAGTATCCTTTTCATCACTTTGTAATAAACCTCGTTATGCCTATGTGTTTCTGATAATTATCATAACATTATATATTTATATATTTAGCGGTTGTACAAACACAAGGCCTCACACATGCCATTTAGACTGACAGACTTGACAAGTTTTACCAACCATAAAGACAGTTGAAGCTTTAAACATCACTCACAATGGATCTTGAATATTCCAACTGTAATCAGACATACCTAAGTTGCCTCAACAATTGCAACCCCAGTTGCAATATCAAATTCTGTGTCACTACTAAGATATAACAGTCTCTGGTGCACTCTAAGATTAAGAGAAAACGGACGACTCAGGAGTGCTGAAGTGAGAGAAAACAGACTCCTATGACGGGGCACTCAAATAAACATACACATAGCTGTATAATGCAATATTAACCCCTAAATCGGTTAATTCGGACAATTGGCTAAAACGGACACCCTTCCCCCCCTATTAGTCCGTTTTAATGAGGGTCGACTGTATTTCAATTAATCCCATATGTTGTTATTTCATTTACACGTTTCTTGTTTTACGCAGTACTCCGCGGGTTCAATTGACCGCGTAAATGAAGACCCAACTGTAGTGTACTGGTACACAGAAGTGTGTTTTGATTATTTACAATACACAGTGTTGTATGTATACAGTGGTTTTTATGTAAATAAATACAGCTCTGTGTCTGTCTGAGATACTTAGATGAGGCTCTCAGAAAACTTTCCCAGCCTACCCAGAAAAATTCTGGGGATGTGCGATTTTACCTGGGGATGAAGAAAGTCTCCATAACCAGAAAACTCTCAAAACCCAAAACCGCTCTGCACCAATTATTCTGGCTAATGGGGAGATTACTACAGTACTTTACTTACTTGAGGTATCTGTGTGCTCTTCCCTGATCCTGTTTCCCCCACTACCACTGTGGTCTGGTACTTCTCCACCAAGTACAGAATGTGGTTACGTGCTCTAAATACTGGCAGTCGTTGACGTTGTTTTTCAATTGACAAGGAACGATGTGGGTTATATATAAACGTTGTGCCACTTGTTTGGTCAACATCGCTGCGGTCCTCTGCATATATGTCATCACCTGGGAAAGCCACATATAAAAGATATTATAATCCAGCCCAGATATAAACATTCTATTATATCCTGTACATAAAAGCAGAATGAAAATGTTATTAATAGTGTGTATTCAGTATTCTGAAAAAATATATTACAAGAAACATAATTTCATGTTCAAATTAAAAAACATACAGTACAGTACCTGGTTTCAGAAATTTGGGTTTTAAAGACATTGCAGGAAGAATTACTTATTCATTTCTTCAGTAATTATCCAGTTTATATTTCTACATCCATCTGCTAAACACGTCAACACGGGTTATACTGTATATCTGAAATGGAGATTATATTAATATCAATGATCAGACAGACATAATAATGGAGTAGTGGTTCTCCTGGGTTTAAAACTGGAAAACTTATGGAGGAGGGGGGGGCAGAGAAAACCTAGCAAGGAGGGGGGTGGGGAGGGCAGGCTTAAGGGATTATGGTATGTTTTTACGACTACCAATGTAAAGGAAAATATGAACCAATCAATAAACAAATTCAAAATTAGCATCTAGAAATCAAGAATTATCTAATATACTATTGGACTAGGCGTGTGTTTGTTCTGGGCAGCCGAAACGGCACAATCGTTTTTCATCAAACTTGGTGGAAAAATCGCAAAAAATTCGTAGAGTGGAACAAACCTGGTCCCATGTCGATGGTTTTTTTAGGAAGGCATTAATTAACAATTTTATTTACGATGGAAAACGATGCAAGTCTACGGACTTGGCGCACCCTAATTAACCCTGCAAGTCTACGGACTTGGCGCACCCTCATTCGCTGTACGCTGTCACGAGCGTTCAAACTCTCACAAGGGCACGAACTTGCCCGCGATCACTTGTATACTTCTGTACTGTACCGTGAGAACATAATTATACAGTATATACATAGAATAGCCCTAATGCCAAACTTAAAATTGTGATGTGTGTTGTGTTTTATTTAATATTTTACTTCATATTATAGTACAGTAATCACAAAAACCAAATATTGAAACAGGTTATCAGCCCAGAAAATGCAGCAGAGGCAATGGGGATAGGCTCAAAGCACTCAAAATTGTGTTTACTATGTGGCATCCTTCACCATTACCCTGGCATACATAATTGACAGTACTGTACTGTCCTGTACAGTACAGTATATGTACAGCAATCAATAGTTCATTCCTGATAAAATTAGCCATAGTTCAGTGATGATTTCTGTAAAATTGCCAAACATCAAAGGTACTATATACAGTAGAGGCCATGGGCCTTAATGTTTCCTAAATAATTAAAAGTTACTTTATCTTAGCTCAACAAAAGGCCAGTTATGTACATGTACACATAAGTACCAAATGTTTTATAAACAAAATCCAAACTACTAATTTAGTGGAACCCCTATTGTGAAGTACAGTACAGTACAGTACAGCACTGTGCTTGTATTAGTATAATTATCACTTATGACAGTAGCACACTAAACTAACTTAACCAAAAAATATGACAAGATAATTTAGGTACAGTATATTAAATTAGGTCAGGTTGCATGTAGTCATATATAATTTATACCTCTCCCCACTACCTTTCTAAAACAAAAAATTAAGAAAAAAGATGTTATTTGCTAAAAAAAAAAAAAAGTGAATTGTTGAATAGATTGTGATTTGTCCACCCTGTAATATGTTTATTTGAGTTTTGAAAATCAATGCAAGGTGATGAGGTGGTAGTGGCCACTGCTCCACACTCAGCCCAGGATGGAAGGTAAAGAAAATCGATTGGTGAGTTGTGGACAAATTATCAGTTTGTGCAAAATTTTTTTTTGCAACAACCTATCAAAAATTGCAAGGAAGGTTGGGGTTGCTGGGAGGAGGAGTCTAGGGGGTTGGGAAACTGGCTGTGGAGAGAATTTTTTAGGGTTTGCTGGCATTTAATATATTAAAATGATTAATTTTGGGTGTGTAATGTAAATACAGTAAAACATTTTACTGTATTATTAAAATAGTTTTTTCTTATGTTTTTCATTGTGATTTGAACAAATATGACCTTTATTTTTTGAGCTCTTGCTTATTTTTTGATACGAACATGATTTGCATAAAGGGGCAGGGCTTTGAAATGTGGGATTAACACACACACACACACACACACACAATAATGATAATAATAATGGAAGCCCCTCGAAATCGAGGATGGCCAGCCCAAGGGCCTCCTTGGCATGAATTTATTAAGGTGTAGAAGCTGTCGCCAACACAACAACCACACCCCAAGTTAACGAGCTGCATGACCCAGTGTCAAGGAATAGTCCGAGAAGAATGGACAACTCACCAACTGCACTGGCTAACCATTACCCAGGAATACGATCCGCAAATTGATTAACATCCAGGTTCCCAATTACTGCTGAGTAGACAGAGGCAAATGGCGTAAAGAAACTTGCCCATAGTTTCACCCTACCCGGGGATCGAACTCGAGTCTGCTCACTTGTGAGGCGAGGGTGCTGACGCACGCACGCACGCACGCACGCACACACACACACACACACACACACACTCTCTCTCTCTCTCTCTCTCTCCCTCTCTCTCTCTCTCTCGTACCGTCTCTACATGCTACGACGACTTAGGTCACTTGGGACACACACGCCAGAGCTGAGGACCATCTATAACGCCTTTATTCTCCCCAAACTAACGTATGCATCACCAGCCTGGTCGTCTTCTCTCAACTCCACCCAACAACGTCGGCTAGAGAAGGTACAGAAAAGGGCCTGCAGAATCATGCTCGGCGCAGAATACTCCGGCTACACCAACGCTCTCTCCACCCTGGAAATGCCATCCCTCAGTGACCTCCACCACCGAGCACTGGCAAGGTTTGGCAGTGAACTAATGCACCATCCTCGTCATTGCCACCTCCTGCCACCGGCAGTCCCCCACCCACCTCGCGCAGTCTGCCACTACAACAAAATTCAGCCCATAAGAGCCCGCACCGATAGATACGTATAAGAATAGCACCATCCCATCTATTGTTAAGATAATAAACTCCTGATTTATGTACTGTACAGCCCTGTAAATGTATTCAACGCATGTCATTATGTCTAAATCAAATGTAAGTTTGAATATTTTCAGCCACCGGCTGCAACTCTATTAATAAACTGTTTATTATCACACACACACACACACACACACTCTATTACCACTCCTACTTTGCTGTCACTCGGGATCGAATATGACGATCATCCAGCTATGATACAATGATATGAGTTATTAAGGACACCACCATCGTTGGTGAGTTTTAAGGTGACTAAAGAGGCTGATACGGGACTGGCAGGGTTGTTCACAGGTGTTACACATGTGGAGGGATACATCTAGTGTGGGAGGGACGGCGGCAGCGTCTTTCTGGCGTTGGCACTTGTCTGCCTCGGTTTGCAGACGGGCTAATTCGAAGGTATTGACACCATCTCGTGTGGTGCTTCTCCAAGAGTTACGGTGTGGCGATGAATTTTGGTGGGCAGTCAAAGCGGCTGAGGGTCCGCCAGATGGCTTCCCTGTTGACTGAATCAAGGCCTTGGTTAGGTCGATGAAGGCCACGTATAGGTCACGACGCAGTTTTCTGCACTTTTTCTGTATCTGGCGGGCAGCAAAGATCATGTCAGTGGTGCCACATGATAGTCTAAAGCCACATTGAGATTCTGGGAGGAAGTTTTCCGCTTCAGAAAGAAGTCCATTTAGGAGTACTTGGGAGATAATCTTGCCAGCTACGGACAGTAGCGAGATCCCGCGGTACAGTAAGTCCTCGTTTAATGTTTCCCCCGATAAAGTTGTTTCGTTATAATGTCGCTACTCTTTAGATACCCATGATTCAGGTAACGTCCAGCCAATTCAGTATAACGTCGTCACGGACTACTTTGTACGGCGCATCACCCCCTCTCATCATGGCTCGCTACGCTCTCACCCGCGAAGCATTACAGCGTCCGCAAGCGTCGCCAGTCTTTGTTAAGCTACCACAGCGTTCGTGTGTTTAAATGTTTTTGCTCTTAATACTGTACTCTAACCATTCAAAATGGCTTCCAAGTGCCCATCAAGTGCTACTGATGCTAGTGTTGTGAAGAATCAATGTAAGACCATTTGTCTTGCTACGAAAAGGGAGGTTTTATACCAGGAGGAGGAGCCACCCGCCGGGTCTCAGTGACTTGCCACCCTCCTCCTCCTCTCCTGCACACTCCACTACCCACCACACACTCACTCCACCGCTTCTGTCCATCAGTGAGTACAATAAAAAATTATTTTGTTAATTTATACATTAAGTTCTCGCTTAATGTCGTCCCGCTTAACGTTGTTTTGGTACTACGTCGCTAAACTTTAGAGACCAAAAATTCATTTAACCTCCCGGTGATCCGATACTACATAGTTTTGCGTCGTCACAGACTACATTTTACGGTGCATCATCCGCTCTCGTCTGGCCGCACTATGCTCTCTCGGCTCCTCTGCTCCCACCCTCCTCCTCTGCTCCTGCCATACTCCTCCCCTCCCGCCATCCACCTCCTCCACTTCACTACCCACCACACACTCACTCTACCACCTGTAATGTATTTCATGGGGGAAAGGGGGGCTCAGGAACGTAACTCCCGTATTTTATCTATTTCTAATGGGGAAAATTGATTCGCCTAACGATATTTCGTATCATGTCGTGTTTTTAGGAACGTAACCCCAACGTTAAGCGAGGACTTACTGTATATATATACTATTTTCTCTAAAAATGCCATTGAATTTCTGTATATGTAATGTATTTTATGGGGTAAAGGGAGGCTCAGAAACATAACTCCCGTATTTTATCTATTTCTTATGGGGAAAATTGATTCCGTTAACGTTGTTTCCGTTAACTTCGCGGTAATCAGCATTCTTGGCCAGTTGGAAGATGGCGTCTGTGTGAGATGGATGTACAGTCTGCATGCTCGCCTTGCAAGTGAGCAGTAATTGGGAACCTGGATTCTAATCGATTTGTGGATTTTTTTTCCGGGGTAATGGTTAGCCAGTGCAGTTGGCGAGTTGTCCGGTCTTCTCGGACTATTCCTTGACACTGGGTCATGCAACTCGTTAACTCAGGGTGTGGTTGTTGTGTTGGCGATAGCTTTTACACCTTAAACAAATTCACGCCTAGGTGACCCTTGGGCCGACCATCCTCATTACACGAGGGGCAGCCATTACAGTCAGCCAAAAATGCACCGACCCCATCCTGGGTCTCGTGCTCGCAATTTTACCTGGAAATACTGTGATTGGTGGATCTGTCTTTGGCTGTATCACTGTCATGATAAATATTAAACAAACCAAAGGTAACATTTTTATAATAATAAACTATTCATTGTTATTTAAGGTCATGAGAAGTTTCCAATTGTTCGTATATTTGTTTAAATAATGAAATAATTATATTAATGACTTGCAACTCAACTACAACCACAGCTGCCACAAGATTCTCACATAAAATTTTCTTCATTATTTAAGCAAATATACGAACAATTGGAAACTTCTCATGACCTGAAATAACAATGAATAGTTTATTATTATAAAAATGTTACACACCAAAATACACTGGAAAAACATATTAGTCAACTCATAGGGACTCATGTCCTAAAGTAAAAATTTACCAAATATTCAAATGTGATTGGTCGAAAAAATCGTGTGACGATATCGATACATCATAGGTCATGACTGGATAACGTCAGTCAATACTGCGCATGCATGATGCATAATTAACTGTTTCACGCAGATAACATCTCTTCACAGACGAAGACTGAAAAGTACGTAAAATAAATTAAATTTAATTGTGTCGCTATTTTCCACTTCCGCCTGGTATAAGTGGGGTTCAAAATGCTCAGAATAGGGAGATCTAAATGTGGTAAATTTGAATTAGTTCACACAACTCTGTTAGAAAGGCAAAATTGTTTTATCTAGTGTATTTTGATTGGTTTTGACCTCGATTTCCATCAAAAAATGCCTTTTTTTTTTTTTTAGTCATCGGGGGTTTTGGGTGGGGCATCCAACGACAAAAATTATGGCCAAGCGAATACAAAATACACACGCAAAAAACTAAAAAAACAGGCATATAAACCTAACCTAACCTAACTCTCACCATATGATGGAATCACTTATTTCTTACCTTATTGGCCTGGTTCTGGTTCTTCGTTGGATTCTGAGATCTAAAAAATTATATAGCTTGTTTGTATTTACCCCAAAAAAGGCAATCAACTCTATATAATTGAAATGACACCCATCGCAGACTTCCATGGTCGGGAATTAAATTGAATTTCAAAATATGTGAACCAAAATAAAATTTGAATCTGATTGGGGCAAAAATACCGCAAATTAAACGACAAATAATTTTAATTGGTGGCAAAAAAAAAAAAAAAAAAAACGCTTTTGATTGCCTGCTCGTGACGATTTATGAAGACACACGCAGAGTGGGGGGTCTGCTAGGCAATAATGGCAGAAGATTAATAGAAGAAAATAGAGAAAGCTTTGGGATGCATTATCTCCGTTATTATACGTTTGCGACGGTAATGTAACAGAAGAAAATTATCTTATAATTGGTGAATTTTCGATCTTGCACCGGCATTTCTCTCGCTATTATTTATGTGTTTTTTGTAATGTTTAGACAATTCTAAGACTTTTTTCTTCGGTGATATTTCCGGTGGAAATTAAGAATAACCAAGATATTAATTTTTCAATATTATTAGATTTGGCCAGTCACAAGTGTCGCCATTTGTTGTTTACGTCACACAGAGGTCTGACCACCCATCACGCAGTGATCCTTACCTCCATGTTGGCTTCTTAAGCATCTACAGGTCATGTGCGGGGGGGGCGGGTTCTTATTGGCTATAGCAAGAGGACTTATAATTGGGTAAGAGTTTCTTGTCCTAGCAAATGAACAATGCGTGGGTGCATCAGGAGCGGAGATTTGATTTTTCAGTACCAGAATAACCAGATATGGCTGAACAGGTGGAAAGAGCTGTGCCGACATTGTGATAAGAGACTATTTTACGTCAACTGCAGAGTTTCATCAGAAAAATAGTGTTGGGTTAAATCAGGTTAGGTTTGGTTTTGTTGTTTTTTTATTTATGTGATTTACTCGAAAAAATATAAATTTTTGTTAACATTGATGGGTAGGGTGGGGAGAGGGGTCTAAAAAATTATTGATTTCCGTCTGAAATGAATATCAAATTCGTTCTAAACTTATCAAATAACATCGGAAAAAACAAATTTTTAATATCCAAACAAAGACCTGGGGCCGGATACTCAAAAACATTTATGGGACTGTATGTCTTTGTGTACCCCGTAACTGGACTTACAATCTCAGATCGGTGTACTCAAAACACCGAAGGTATACTCAAAACAAATATTTGACATCGAACTCCGTAAATTAAAGAGCGTAACTTACACCAGCCCCTGAGGCTCTGTAACACTCTCAACCCGGATGTAGTAGTCACTAATTTCCGATTGTATTAAAAAAATAATAATATACAGTGACCCCTCCGTTAACGAACTCAATCCGTTCCAGAAGGTCGTTCGTTAACCGAAAAGTTCGTTAACCGAAACCATTGTTTCAATGGGTTTTTGGGTAATTGGTTCCAGCTCACCGAAAATTTCCTAAATTCAACAAAAATGGTAGCAAAGTTCACTTACTTTGAGGTGTGTATGTAGAAGGCTCCTGGATGATGATGATGGTGATGGGATTTAGAATGGGGGTGGAGGAGAAGGAAGAAGAGAAGGCATTGGGGTGGAAGAGAAGTCACCCCATGGCGCCATTTCACCCATAAAATTTTAGCTCTCTTGGTGTAATTCAAGATTATTTTCTTTAAATCAACACTGCACTGCATTATATATTGTCAATATGTAAATTTTATTTCAAAATGACCAATAATTTGCTTGGAAACACAGAAAAAAAGCATTTAGTTGAAGAGTCTCAAGCAAGATGTTACCTCCAGTGAAAACAGAGAGAGACTAACTCCTGTTATGCTGTGTTAAGAGGCTGGATGCCGCGCATTAAACTAGTCACTTTACCTTCAATTATGTTCAATAATAGTTAAAATGACTAAAAAATTGAATATTAAACTTTTAAAATTATTGAATAGTATAAACTTCTTGATATTTACTAAAATAGTAAGGAATTTAAGCCCTAGAACCGATTAATGTATTGGCGGACTGATACTAAAGCTGGTTGCCCGGTCAGTGCAAGCGAAAACATGTTGAGGTCGGTTCGTAAGAACTTCGTTAACCGAATTTTTTTCGTTAACCGAATTGAAGATCCTTATGGAAGGCAGTTCGTTAATCGAAATTACGTTAACCGAGGTGTTCGTTAAACGAGGGGTCACTGTATGTTGTAATAATGCTTGTTAGACTTGTTTTATCATAGAATACTGAAGAAAATGTTTTGTACATCAACATACTGAAATATAAGATTTCACTTTGTCTTTTTCGTAAAATGTTTGTTGCCATAATAAGCGGCTTGAGTGTTTGTATTTGTCTCAGTTTGGAAGAGACGCATCTTTTGTCTTCTTACAAATTATAAAGTATTTTTTACCAAAACAGAAGGTTTGTATTGTTCACACTTAGGGTAAAAATATGTTTTATGACTGAGTAAACTTGCAGATAGAACTTATTAATGTTGTATAGCCATAAATATCCCTCAGTTATGAAAGCCAAATATGAGGTCAAGTGAATATTCCTACCAAGACTTCGCCTAGTTTTCTAATATGCAACCAATAGCCTTAGCCTATTTTCTTATGTATATGGCTTATGATAACATGAAAGGCTCTAAAGGTTAGCCAAAATTAAATGATATGCATAAAATATGGATTGCAATTAACTTGATTAATAGGGGCATATAAAACTCCTTTTTCATTCTTAGGCAAATAAATGTTTAAACGTGGGGCCTACTCAATTTAGTTATAACATGAGGAATTATACCAATAGGTTATAGGTTAGGTTTGGTTTGGTTATGTTATTTTATGTTGGGTTAGGTTAGAGAATGTGTACATGGTTTTTTTTTGGTATCAGGCTGTCAGTGATACACTTTGTGTAGCAGCTACCTTAGGTCTAGTTCCAGACTTTTTATAAACAGTATCATAGGGTAGAGTATTAATTTAAGAAAATTTACGGATAATCAGTTATATTTTCAGGTTTTAAATTGTTGTTTTTTGTATAAACTTGAAGAAAATTCAGTCCAAATGACCCAAACATTGAAAGGAAAACATCATGTTCTAGGCTAAATTTTCCTAAAATTATTTTCTTTCTTTTGGCGACTTCACACACCATGGCGCATACTTCACACACCATGGCGCATACTTCACACACCATGGCGCATACTTCACACACCATGGCGCATACTTCACACACCATGGTGCATACTTCACACACCATGGTGCATACTTCAGTCTCACTGAAATTTGGTCGTTTCTTCAGGTGGTTGTCCTCCCATCTTTTGTTTACAAACTAATATCAAGTGCATCGCTCTCAGCTGATTTCTCCTTCTCTTGTGATTGGTTGATGATTTTGTTAACTGAGCGCTGATTGGCCAACTAGCTCCTGCACTGTCATCTACCTTCCGATAAGAGAACTTAATTTACAGGGTAAACACTAGAGTTATGATAACTTATGGACTGCCTAAGGAACTGTAATTAAATTTTGAGTATGCTAAATTAACGGGACTGTGAGGAGTCTGCAATATATGGTATTGTATCTCGCTAATATATGTAACCTATGAGGTGTTTTGAGTATCCGGCCCCAGTGCATTAGTGAAAATTGACACAAAAAATTGGACGTCTTTATCGAATATGATAATAGATTTGGGGTAGGTAAGTTGTGTGCACTAATGCAAAGATACCCTAAATGTTTCATTAGTTTATAAGTTTGGGGCTCGCTATGTCCTAAAATAAAATAATACTGTCATTATGTACTGTATATATGCCATTACCACAAGATTAAAGTTGGCTGTTGTGTCATGGTCACGTTGACTGCTAGTCGGTTTTAACACTAATGATTCTTATTATACTCCACGAACGCAAAACATGAGTGGGTAAGCTATTCTTAAGAAGAGACGTGTTTTTCCCCATCGACGCTTATACTCATGATCCCTCCCAGTAAGTCCAGCTTTCGAACACAGTTGTCAATGCGTTTTTTATTCCACTTTTTCCTGGCAAGCTCAATCTTGGATTAGTCTGTGTAAATCAACTCAAGTAATTCGCCAGACCCATGTCAACTGAGGGTCATCCTTGAATGAGTGACAGTTGGTTTGTTTGTGATTTCTGTCATTGCGTGAGTAGCGATCGCTGGCAACTCAGGGGTATATGAACCACTGCCGAGTAGAGAGTCGTCCTCTGTGATGCGTCCTCTCCAACTTGTCTACAGGTATGTAGCTGTGTTATCCCGCCGATATAACCATTCAGTTTGATTTAGTCAATTGTAGTGAATTATCAGTGTTCATGTTGTGACAGTGTAATTGTCATTTACCCAGTGTGAGAAGTATTATAAAGTAAATGTCGTCTGACGTTGCTAGACGAGAGATGTTGTTTGTGTTTGAACCACCATGCTTTCCTCTGTGACGCGTCCTCTCCAACTTGTCTACAGGTACAGGGGAAGGCTTAATTGAACACCCACTGGTCGCTCGGAGCCGGTGGATAGTTAGCCATGTGTCTGGCTTCCACCGATCACAGCAACGGTCGTGAGCCCCAGTGTCCTACCCTGGGACGCATTCCTGGCATTTATGGCCCACAGTGTTTGATGTATATGTTTGGGGATAATTAATTGGAAATAATTATCCCATGTTGGGTAGTGGACCCATGTATGAGTTGGTTTCAGTGAGTGAAGTATCATCTGTAAGTTTGTCATGTATGTAATGAAATATATCACCAGTAATGTGGGTGAAATAAGTACCCACTTGGATTGGCAGTTAAGAGAAGCCAGGAGTTGTCATGTAACTATGTACTGTAATGTAACACCAGTCAGGTTATGTGTAGTAAGAGTACAGGATCTGAGTAAGTGCAGTGGAGTAAGCCGAGGAGTTGCACCTTGGAGTGGTATGTTAATATCTTTGTCCCTTTGTATTTCATATTAATAAACCTGTTCTTTGAGTATTTTAGTAGTGTTCATTTTTCACCACAGTAGTTCACCTATGTTTCCGTCCAAGTGACTTGATATCAAAATTACTATACCCACGTGCAGGCCCTCGCCATGCTACCAAAAGGAACCGAGGTTAAGTGGTAACCAGTGAACGTAAGTAAGTAAGATAAGGGTGGGCAGTGTGAGTAGGAATCGCCGCCCTTACAGTTGTGCATCGGCTTTAATATCGCCAACGTTAGAGATCAGCTCTGACATTGGCTCCTTCCCCTCGAGTCTGACGTCTAAGTATTACCTGTACTGTCATTGTACATCGTAACCCTGCCCTGTCTATGTACACGCTGAATTAATATGAACATGTATGACGAATTTACTGAATATAATCTGCCTATCAACGTGAATATTAATCTATCCTTCACTTACTGTACCTTCACTGCCGGCCCAGACGCCCTTACATTCGTCTCGATGTAAACAAACACAAGGCTCTGACGGCACACCCCAACTTGGAATATCCCCAACTTAAGATGGTCTTATTAATAAAATACAATTTCAATTTCAATTGTTTATTCCTTGATAGAGGAAGCGGGATCCTAGTGCTGTCACTAGGTACCCCTGTACAATGACACCAGAAGCATCTGGCAAGTGTGACAAGTATATACAGTATAAATATTATAAAGGGGCTTACTAAAGCCTAAGGAAGGAAGGATATTCCTTTAACACATAATCAATATTATTTACCAAATATCTGGCCAGTATGGGGAGGATCATCGTGTCTCCGTCAGGGGGTCGTGGAGTGGTGGTCCAGCAGGCGTCACGGAAGCGTTGTGTGTGGGGACATCTTAGGAGGTAGTGGATAAGGGTGCTGCTGTCGGGTCTTCTGCATAATGCACAAGAGTAATAAAATACATTGTTATTCATAACCAGTGCTGGAGTACCAATTTTTAAGATGCCGGAGCTGTCAAAATAAATAGATGAATAAATAAATAAATAAATATATATATATATATATATATAATCAACACCTCATCCCGCCAGGACTCGAACCCACGGCCCATGACTGTGACCGGAGAACGCTAACCGCTGGACCACCAGGATACCAAAACTAGTCCGAGACTCTGTTATATTTCACACAAAGACTGTTCAACAGGCTTATGGCGCCGTGAACCTCTAATGGAGACTACCCGTATCACGTAGGTGGTCAGAGTAACGTTTTACCAAACCCGGCTTCGAAACACGAGGATCCATATATATTTCATTAGCCCAATAAACACGCGGACTTCTACATACAATCAACATCTCAACCCGCCAGGATTCGAACCCACGGCCCACGAGCCCATGACTGTGACCGGGGAACGCCATAAGCCTGTTGAACAGGCTTTATGTGAAATATAACAGAGTTTAGGACTGCTTTTAGTATCCTGGTGGTCCAGCGGTTAGCGTTCTCCGGTCACAGTCAAGGGCTCGTGGGCCGTGGTTCGAATCTGGCGGGGTTGAGATGTTGATTGTATGTGAAGTCCGCGTGTTTATTGGCTAATGAAATATATATATATATATATATAATATTTGGAATTTTTAGCTTTCGCCTTTACTCATTACATGTAATCTAGTTGCCTCTGAAGATGTCTTGAGTAAAGACGAAAGCTAAGGTACTCCGTTGTTTCCCTTTTCCCGTGATTTTATCAAGATTTATTTATCCACGCTTTGTGATCTATGAAATATATATATATATATATATATATATATATATATATATATATATATGCTGATAACCACAAGGAAAGAAGGCTGGCGTGGGGCAGTAGCCTTGAATGCAGAAACTGCCTGTCATATTGTAGTGGATTTCTCCCCTACAAACGATGTTTGTCGCTGAGTAGCTGACCCCGCGAATTCCCCAGTGTATGCCTCGTGGTCTAGGTCAACCAGCGCCGCCTTACATGACAGAGGTCAACTATTAAGCCACGCCTACCTCCGCTATAATAGACCTGACCTCGTGGTGACTGCTCTTTCTACCTACACCAACCAGCCAGCAACACCTCCTCCTCCTCCGCCGCTGCCTGGCGGTCCTCGCTCCCGCCGGCGAGCATGGCGACCCACAAGCTGGTCCTCCTCTGAGCATCCTCACCAACTAGCTCTCTCTACATCACGCTTGTAACCACGCTGCCACTTCCCAGCACCAAGCTGCATTGTACATCCAATACAACATGTATACAGAGAGCACATTGTGAGTTTCCTTTCTCCATCCCATCCTGAGTGTGAACCCAAACATCACATAACCCCACAAATGGTGACCCCCGGAGATTCGCACTCACACAGGATGGAGGAGAAACCGATCACTCTCCCAGTCTTCAAGCAACATGGAAGACTGGCTTATCCACACAGAAGCAGCTCTCATCGGCTCTACAACTACTGTCTCTACACTGCAGGTTAGACACCCTAGAGCAGCACTGCTTCTCCAAGCAGACACCAGCTTCTCTTCCTGCCCCAAGCACCACGTCCTACCGACCCCAGCACACCCGTCCTGTCTCAGACGCCGCCCCCGGCCCAACAGTACCCCCTGCCGCTCCTCCTGATGCGGACCCACACACCCCTCTTTTCTCCCTCAGGTACTCCCTGCTACTGTCCTGCACCCTACTGCTGTCGTGGACCCAGCTGCTGTCACGGACTCTCCTCCGCTCCTGCTGACGCAGCCCCTGCTCCTGACCCAGGCCCACACACCCCAGCAGGCGCATCTGACGACTCTGTACCTGCTGTGAAGGAAGCACAACATTCATCGTCTCCACACACCCTTTTTCTCCCTCTCTACTCCCACAGATATTGTGTATCTAGACAGTTGTCTCCTCTAGCGGCCGGCTCATCCACGCCCTCGCCGTTATGGCTCACATGTGGCATGCACTGCCTGTTCTGCCTCACATGTGCCATGCAACCCTGCAGACAACAAGTCTCCTACACCGCCTGGAGGGAAGGAGGGAGTATTGTAGTGGATACCTCCCCTACAAGTGCTGTTTGTCGCTGAGTAGCCGACCCCGCGAATTCCCCAGTGTATGCCTCGTGGTCTAGGTCAACCAGCGCCGCCTTACATGACAGAGGTCAACTATTAAGCCACGCCTACCTCCGCTATAATAGACCTGACCTCGTGGTGACTGCTCTTTCTACCTACAGCCGCAGCCAGCAAAACATCCTCCTCCTCCTCCGCTGCCTGGCGGTCCTCGCTCCCGCCGGCGAGCATGGCGACCCACAAGCTGGTCCTCCTCTGAGCATCCTCACCAACCAGCTCTCTCTACATCACGCTTGTAACCACGCTGCCATTTCTCAGCACCAATCTGCATTGTACATCCAATACAACATGTATACAGAGAGCACATTGTGAGTTTCCTTTCTCCATCCCATCCTGAGTGTGAACCCAAACATCACATAACCCCACAGTAGTGTTTGCAGTAGGTCGTGACAGACAGCAGGAGTGAGGTGGGCAGGGTCAGGAGTAGGTGAGAAGTCCCCGGGGAGGTGATGGGGTTCGCCTAGGGTGAGATCCGCTGGGCTGCAGTCCATGTCTTCTTTGTGTGATGCGCAGATGCCAAGGAGCACTGAGGGTAGAGCATCCGTCCAGCTGTAGGGGTCGTGCTGTGCCTTGATGGCATCCTTTAGCTGATGGGATGAATCTGCTCTACCATGCCGTTGGACTGAGGGTGATAAGCAGTAGTGCGGTGCCTGGTAGTGCCGAGGAACTGCAGGAGACTATGCCAGAGTTGTGACTCGAACTGAACTCCTCGGTCAATGATGACAGTCCAGTGATGACAGTTGTGGGAGGACCGAAGCGGAAACCCAATCAGACAGGAAAGCGTGGACAGCTGACTCTGCTGTAGCATTAGGCATGGGAATGGCTTCTATCCACTTGGTGAAACGGTCAATGCAAGTGAAAATAATGGTGTTGCCACAGGTTGCTGGAAGAGGTCCCACGATGTCGACGTGCACTACCTGGAAGCAACCTTTGGGTACAGGAAAGGTTTCTAAGGGAACCCGTGTGTGTCGATGTATCTTAGAGGACTGGCAGGCCAGGCACTGGGCAGCCCATTTCCGAGTGTTGCCCTTGATGGCAGGCCAGACGACACGTTGCTTGAGTAGGTGCTGGGAGGCCTGTAGTGGATTCCTCCCCTACAAACGCCGTTTGTCGCTGAGTAGCTGACCCTCTTCGAATTCCCCAGCCTGCGCCTCCAGCGCCGCCTGACATAGCGGGGGTCAACTATCAACCCTCGCCTACCCCCGCCTTATAAGACCTCACCCCGCCGTGACCACTCTCTTTCTACCTACGGCCACCAGCAAGCAACACTTCCTCCTCCTCCTCCTCCAACCTGGCGGCTCCCACTCCCGCCGGCGACCTTGGCGTCCCTCAAGCTGTTTGCCCTCCTCTGGGCACCCTCACCAACCAGCTTTCTCTACTCAATGCTTGTAACCATGCTGCCTATCCAGCACCAAGCTGCATTGTACATCCAATACAATATGTATACAGAGAGCACATTGTGAGTTCCCTTTCTCCAACCCATCTTGAATGTGAACCAATAACTCATAACCCTACAAAAGGTGACCCCCGGAGATTCGCACTCATACAGGATGGAGGAGAAACTGACCACTCTCCCAGTCTTCAATCAACATGGAAGACTGGCTTAGCCACGCAGAGGCAGTTCTCATCGGCTCTACAACTACTGTCTCTACACCACAGGTTAGACACCCTAGAGCAGCTCTGCTACTCTAAGCAGACAGCCGCTCCTCTTCCTGCCCCAAGCACCGCGTCCTACCGACCCCAACACACCCGTCCTGCCTCAGACGCCGCCCCCGGCCCAGCAAGCAGTACCCCCTGCTGCTGTCCTGGACCCTCCTCCTGACGCGCCCCCTGTTCCTGACGTGGACCCACACATTCCTCTTTTCTCCCTCAGGTACCCCCTGCTACTGTCCTGCACCCTGCTGCTATGGACCCTGCTGCTGTCATGCACCCTGCTGCTGTCATGGACCCTCTTCCTGACACGGCCCCTGCTCCTGACGCGGACCCACACACCCCACCAGGCGCTACTGAGGACTCTGTACCTGCAGCGAGAGAAGCACCACATTCCTTGCCTCCACAACCCTCCTTCTTCCTCTCTTCTCCCACAGATCTCGTGTATCTAGACAAAGTTGTCTCCCATGCGGCCAGCTCATCCACGCCCCCGCCATTATGTATCACATGTGGCATACAACCCTGCCGACAACAAGTCTTCTGCACTGCCTGGAGGGAAGGGGGAGTATTGTAGTGGATTCCTCCCCTACAAACGCCGTTTGTCGCTGAGTAGCCGACCCTCTTCGAATTCCCCAGCCTGCGCCTCCAGTGCCGCCTGACGTAGCGGGGGTCAACTATCAACCCACGCCTACCCCTGCCTTATAAGACCTCACCCCGCCGTGACCACTCTCTTTCTACCTACGGCCACCAGCAAGCAACACTTCCTCCTCCTCCGCT